CTCCCTAATACCTGCCACCAACATAGTATACTGTTGATGTGTCCCTTTATCACTTTTGTTATGGCTATGCTGAGCTGCTTAGTCTGAGTACTCTTCCCCATATGTGGGCATGTTTGTGCACGCACGCGTGTGTGTGTATGTGTTTATGTGTGTGTGTGCGCGCGTGTGGGTGAGTGTGTGTGTGCGTGTGCATGTGTGGTGTATGCCTTCTGTCGATAGGCTGCGAGTGACATGTCACCGTTTGTGCGCAAAACCGCTGCACATGCCATTCCCAAACTTTACAGGTAAGTGCAGCAAGACGGTTTTAACCCACATCTTCCTTTAGTACACGAAGAGGCAAAGCCAGTTGTGACCCTGATGTGGCCTTTTGTACCATTCCTTCTCGAATCAGTACATGGTGATAATATGGCGAAGCATATCAATGCGGTGTAAATTGGCATTGTCATACTTCGCCACCATGCACTGACGTAATGGTACGAAAGGCCCCATAAGGTTCATAGCTAGCTTCGTGTCGTCGTGTACTAACACGTTTCCCTCCGACCAAGTCCTTGTACATCTTCCTTTCCCCTTGCACATACAGTGGAACCTGTCTAAGACGACCGCTCAAGGGACCTTCAAAACGTGGTCTCTGATACCAGGTGGTCTCCTTGTTCAGGGTCATTTGACTGGAAATAGCATCAATTGATCCTGGTTTCAGTGGTCTTCTGGGACAGGTGGTCGCCTTGACAGGTTTTACTGTACATGCGTGTTATGTGCGAGTGCATGTGCGAGTGCATGTGCGAGTGCCTGTACAGTGCATGTCTGTCCACTCCAAGAACATTACACTGGTGCATATCACTCTCATCGTAACACCAGCAACACATAGCTTACATGCATATGTATGTGGTGAGTCGTTTGAAAGCACAGCAAATCACTGTTCAGAGTGTTTCCCTAATTGTTGTTGCTGTTGCTGTCTATGCGTGGATGTTTGGTCTGGCTCTCTCAGTTTGGACGAAACCCAGAAGGAGAATCTCATCGAGGTCATCGAGAAACTGCTGAAGGATCGCACCACGGTATGTTTGGCTTTGCGATGTGTCCTCTTTTTCTTATGGGGGCGCTTAAACAGGTCTTACCGTAGTGTGTTTGTTGGTGTTAGACTCCTCTTCCTTGCATTTAATTTCTTGTGATTGAGATATTAAAGGGGAAGTTAAGGCAAAAATTAAAATTTCACCAGTTGTAGTCTTCGGGGGGCTGAGTCGAATGGTCGTGGTCCGAGGAAGCTGAGACGCTCCCTTCCTACTTGAATCCCAATCGAACTCGCGCACTTCCACCGAAACTGGGTGACTGCGCCCTACTAGATGGGGATTTGTATGCAAAATGTCACTAAAAGCGCCATTTCGTTCATATAAAAGCATGGATGACCGCGATTGGCCCATATGTTGTAGTCTTTTGGACGCTGAGTCGATTGGTTTTGGTCAGAAAAGGCTGCGATGCAGCGTTCCTCCTTTATTCCCAATCGAACATGGTTGAAGAAGCGGTCACGTGCTCCTGCGTACGCCAGTCACCTGGTCACCGTGCCTGCAGGGTACAACTTACTAGCCTGTTTGACCTTTTTTGGGTGCAGTCCTGTCACTTGAGTTGAACCTTGGTGTGAAAGTTGTCGCCTGCTAGCGTGGTGACCAGGTGATTTGGGCACCCAGGAGCACGTGACCGCTTGTTCAACCATGTTCGATTGGGAATAAAGGAGGAACGCTGCATCGCAGCCTTTTCGGACCAAAACCAGTCGACTCAGCGTCCAAAAGAGTACAATATATGGGCCAATCGCGGTCATCCGTGCTTTTATAAGAACGAAATGGCGCTTTTAGTGACATTTTGCATACAAATCCCCATCTAGTAGGGCGCAGTCACCCAGTTTCGGTGGAAGTGCGCGAGTTCGATTGGGATTCAAGTAGGAAGGGAGCGTCTCAGCTTTCTCGGACCAAGACCATTCGACTCAGCACCCCGAAGACTACAACTGGTGAAATTTTAATTTTTGCCTTAACTTCCCCTTTAACCCTTTACTGTCCGTACATACAAGCATCGATCCAATGGGATCGATGGGGTAGGCATTTTGAAATTATCGTAACTTGCTCAAATCTCGGTCTTTTGGAGAGATCGAAATATGTAGGTCGAAGAGAAAAGTCTCAGCTGTCGCCTCGAACAATTCCCGAAGCGATACGAAGAGCGGTTACTGAGTTATCGCACCCGTAATTCTGGTCCCGGGAAATGTGCGTTCAGAGCGCGACGCGCATGTCGACGGCTGGGATTTTCCCTGTTTACGTCACCTGTTGGCAAGGCTACACCGATTCAAATTCAAAAGTAGGTTCCCGGGAGTCTCTACGAAAATATTTGAGCTCGATACGAGCAACAGAGGTGACATGGTGGATTGAGATCGATCTCGTGCGTGAGCTCAGCGCTTTTGCGCGTTCCCTGGCTTGCAGCGCTGGACCAGTGCATCCCGTGGCGCCGAGTGTGGGCTCATTGCGTTCGTCTCGTCAAGACCTTTCCAGGATGCACAAGATCGAGGAAATCGTCAAATTCAAACCAAAGTTACGTCTAATTTTAGTTTCAGATTTTGTGGTTGCGTGGGCTTGTATACATTTTAATCGGACAGTAAAGGGTTAAGGTCTCAGTCCTTGGTCGTCATACTTCTGAAGTTTGATGTCCGCGCAACCGCTTTAGGTGCGGCGAAACTAAAAAAAAGTTTCGTTTTTGGGTGGGCTGAGGAGAATTTCGTTTTGAAAAGTGTTGATAGCTGAACCATCCATCCATTCTAGCTGTCGAGTCGATATATTTTTCGCTCAGCAGGGTGTGTGTGTGTGGGGGGGGGGGGGGGGGCATATCTAAACTATTTGGTTCCGCGAAAATGATCGATAATGCCGGATGGCCCCTTGCTCGTGCTGATGCTGTAAGGTTTGATGCTTGAACCCCTCACCGCCACCATTACCACCACCACAACCCTGAATCTGATGTTCTACTTGGTCCGGCTCATCGCAATTGTCGCTTATCTATCGCCACTAAGAACAGGAGTTTTTTTTACCGCTCTGTGAAATTTCCAGTAGGCATAGTGAGGAAGCATGATACAAGAATACTCTCTGCCACAAGAAAAAAATTCAGCAATGGAATCAGGTGAAGCGAGTCGAAGAAAGGAAGCAAGGTAAGCAAAATACACGAAATATATCCGCGAAGGAGCGCGTTCTTGCACTCACACTCTTACAGGTCCAGAGTCCATTCAACTCTGCATCACTCGAGCTGCCGCGCCGTTACATGAGCTGACATTTGCTGGTGTCTAGCTGCTGGCGTAGACTGGATTATCTCTTGCTTTCTCAGGCTGTCGTATGGCAGCAATGGGAAAGGAACAGTTGCGGCTGTCACTTCGGTGCTTGAAGGAACTGTGGGCAGTGTGACCTGTGTGTCGCCACAGTGTGTTTCAACAACGCCTTCGAGGCATACAAGCCTCTCCAGATAGCTGTCATACGCTCCACTGGATACGCTGACCACGACTCTTGTAGTGCTGCTGCTAGGTCCACCAAGCAAGGAACAACAACCGTCCGCCGGGCGCATCGCATCAAAAACACCTTTCTTCTTCAGCATGACGCTCATGCAGCTCATACTCCTCTGCCGTGCACGCGTGCCTGTCACGCTCTCCAGGATGTCAGTTGCCCCTACCGCAGTTCCGGTCTTCAGGTCACTGCGCTTGGCTTTTGGCAACACGGACAGTGAATGACCAGATTCCCACTTCCCAAAAAAGTCGAACACATCGCGATTCAAAGCGCTAGTCGCGATCATTTTTCTTTGGTGCCTCCTTTGACCTTGCCATCACAACCTCCCAAGCAAAAGTAAGTTAGATATCGTGATTGGACTGGGTTTTACCTGTGAAAAGGTGCGTGGGAGATAAGGGGTCGTCCGTATTTTTCGAAAAATTAAAAAATCCGTCCTCAGGCAGAAAGGGGGTGGGTGGTCAAGAGCGCTGGCGGAATTTAATTTTTTGATTTTTCGTACTTTTTTTTTTTTTTTTTTTTTTTTTTTCTTCAGTGACTTTCATACACTTGTTGCACTGACATGTAGTGCACTGTAGACGTAGTGTAGGATCGCAAACACCAATATAATTATACCGGTACATGACTCATCATACAATTGTTAGATCACCTTGTTTCATGCTGTCAATCTAACAATTGCGTGAACTATAACAAGGTTTATCTAATACTGGTTTTTAACCAGTGTTGGGTTATATAACATGACTCTTCATGTAGTTGTAGGACGTGCATGGCCGTCGGTAGACCTCCTACTCACTTTACTTAGCTACTAGTACTTGACATTCATGTACATGTAGGTGCAATCAGTGAACATGGGGTCAGGAGTTCTTATTTTCGAGCTGGGCATGCCGGCATCGGTAAAAATCAAAAAATTAATGGGAAAAAATGGGGGGTGGGTGGATGGGTCAGAGACAATTTTGCACGAGGACGGATTTTTTAATTTTTCGATAATTACGGACGACCCCTAAGCGACAATTGCGATGAGCCGGACCAAGTATGAGCGTGTTCTTGTCTTGGATGGGTGTTGGGGGAGGGTCGTAATCACTTTCGTTCCGTGAAAGTTATCGATTATGCCGGATGGCCCCTTGCTCTTCCTGATGCTGTAAAGGCTGATGCTTGAACCCACCACCAGCACCACCACCTCCCTGAATCTGATATTCCGTGTGTGCGTGTTCTTGTCTTGTTCAGCTTGTAGCCGGCAGTGCTGTGATGGCGTTTGAGATTGTGTGCCCGGAGCGTACCGATCTGGTACACAAGAACTACCGCAAGCTGTGTAACCTTCTCGTGGACGTCGATGAGTGGGGGCAGATGGCCGTCATCAACATGCTCACACACTACGCACGCACCCAGTTCCTCGACCCCAATCTGCACGTGAGTGTCTCGTGGAGGGCTCAGTGTGTGTGTGTGTGTGTGTGTGTGTGTGTGTGTGTGTGTGTGTGTGTGTGTGTGGTGCGTCACGAGTGTGTATGTGCGTGTGCGTGTACGTGTCTGTGTGTCTCTATGGTATGTATAATATTGTTGTGGGACTTCAGGGCTATAGTCATGAGGGCGAGTTGGGGTGCAAGCGAAAATAATTCTTGTCGCCTACTGAAATTCTTCCCCTTCAGAATGTCGTTAGCTGTTGAGCGTTGCTGTCGATCTGTCGGCTCTTGACATGTTAGCAGCATAGTTCATGGATTCGTGGAATTCTTTTACACTCGCACCTCGTTTATCCGGGCGGTCCAGGACCGAGCACTGCCAGTAACTTTGAAATGTCCGTAACTCCTAATCACGCACATTTTTTGATGGGGAAATGCCATAGATATAGCAATGACGTCACTATTTCCACGAAAAAGTGACAAAAGAGTTGTAATATTTCCACTGAAACTTGTCCAAAGGGTGCCCGGTAGACCGAAGTGCGCGTAACTTTGGGGTCCGGATAACCGAGGTATTTGTGTACTTGGTATCACAGTTGCATGCTGCCACTGTCTCTTATGGTTTGGACTGTGTGCTTGTGAATCTGTTGACCAGGAGGACGCTGGTGCGGCGGCGTTCTACTCGGACGATGAAGAGGAGGAAGAGGAGGACGATGATGATGACTCTGACATTGATAGTGACGACAGCGAGGCACAAAGGAAGCGCGACGCCAAGAAGAAGAAGAAGAAGCCGTATACGATGGATGGCGACCATCGTCTCTTGTTGCGCTGTTCTAGACCGCTGCTGCAGAGTCGCAACTCTGGTGTAAGCGTTGTGCTTGAATGAAGTGTGTGGTGTCTTGTCTGTCTGTCCGTCTCTCTCTCTCTCTCTCTCTCTCTCTCTCTCTCTCTCTCTCTCTCTCTCTCTCTCTCTCTCACACACACACACGCACGCACACACACACACACACACACACATACACACACACACACACACACATGGTTTCCCTTCCATTTTGGTCTCCATTGTGGTATACACCGTAGATGCATCAGTGTGCCCCAGCTCCACTTTGCACGTTTGTTCAATTGTGCTGTTTTAACAACTTCTCTACGTATTCATGTTTGTACACCTGTGTACGTCTGTGTGTGTCCGTGTGTGTGTGTGTGTGTGTACACGTGCATGTGCTGTACACTGCAGGTCGTGATGTCCGTGTGTCAACTCTACTTCCACATTGCACCAGCCAATGAGCGCAGCGTGGTGATCAAGCCCATGCTAAGACTGCTGCACTCTAACCGGGAGGTTCAGACTGTTGTCTTGACTAACATTGCCACGCTCAGCCTCAAGTTCAAGAACCTGTTTGAGCCGTTCATCAAGAACTTCTTTGTCCATTCGCAGGATTCGACTCAAATTCGCTCATTGAAGGTGAGGCCTGGTGCTGCTGCTGCTGCTGCTGGTACTACTTCTGCTGCTGCTTTTGTTGCTGCTATTGCTGCTGTTGCTGCTTCTGCTTTTATTGCTGCTTCTGCTGCCGGTTTTCCTGGGTAGTGCAGCGTCATGCCTAGTGCTGCTCATTGACACCAGAGACTTGTGTTGGTTGTTGCCCGATGCTGGGCAGACCCAGACCTGCAAACACTACAGTGCTTGCAAAAGTATCCACCTCTGGACTTTTTCAAACAATCCAAATTTTGATATTCATCAGTTGGGGTATTGGGGGTAGGGAATTCAAATTTGGTTTGAAATTTTGAGAAATTCTTTCGGGATATTGCTCAGCCTGTTCCCCCAGCTTGTCTCATAGATTTCTAAACGATTGGATACCAAACGCCCAATTTCGGAAATTTTATGCGCAAAGTGATCACAGATTTCATGTGGTACATGTATAGATGCTGATCTAGCGGTTTAAAAAACCCTAAAGTGTGTATGGGGAGAGTCATGTGATGATGTTGAAGGACATAACTATGTATCATGTGATCAGTACTTGGGTTTGTACACTGACTGTGTGATGGCCTGTTCGGTGTTTCTTGCAGTTGCCTATCGAGGCAAGAGCATCAGACATTCTGTCAACGAAAATATTTTCAGATGTGTTCATATAGCATTGAATCGACGAATAGAAAATTAGAAATTGATCCGAAATCGATGCACTTGTGTGTGTTTTGTTTGTTTGTACACTTTATTTGAATTCTCTATGTGTGTGGTGTCTTTGCTTTTACCCTTATGCAGCTGGAGATCATGACGAACTTGGCCAGCGATTCCACCATCTCAATCATCTTGAAGGAGTTCCAGGTAGATAACTAGATGAACATGCAACCCTTGTATAATTCCTATGCTGGTTGAAGAGAGAGACAGAGACAAAGACTGCAACGGCTACAAATAAAGGCATCTTCATAATAGGGCTTGAAAGTGCTACGTCATAGCAACAATTTCAAAAATTCAAAAACTGGATCCATTTGGATCCAGTTTTTGTATGGATCCAAGCACATTTCAAGCAGTCTTACTCACAGCAAGGTGATGTAGCCAGTGAAACTGACTGATTTGGCTACTGGGGGCGGGGTGACAACTGGTGGCAAAGTAAAAGTCACACCCGCATACGACATGAGTGGGTTGCTATGCACCCACATACTGAGGCAATAGCGAAGTCACACCTTAGTGGATCCAAAATAGAAATCTGATGTCAACTTACTACTCCCTGGCCGTTTTGACGTCATCACTTTCAAGCCCTATTTGTACAAATTTCTCGCTGATTAAGCCTTTTTTTAGAAGGTGCACTCGTCTGCATTTGTCATCAAACCCTGTCTGTTGTTCTCTCTCTCTCTCTCTCTCTCTCTCTCTCTCTCTCTCTCTCTCTCTCTCTCTCTCTCTCTCTCTCTCTCTCTCTCTCTCTCTCTCTCTCTCTCTCTCTTTCATCTGTGTGTGTGTGTGTGTCTCTCTCTCCAGACATACGTGTCGAGCTCCGACCGTGACTTTGTGGCATCCACTATCCAAGCCATTGGCCGCTGTGCCTCTCAGCTGGAGGAGGTGACAGACACATGCGTCAACGGACTGATGCGCCTATTGCAGCATCGCGATGGTGAGTGTCCAACGTTCAAGCTGGGTCTATAGATGATAATGCCGAATAACGTGCAACTAGACTTGGGAGGACATGGCTTGCTTACTAAGTTTCACGGTTGCCTGTGACTTGTGCCCCTGCGGAGTTCAGGGCCTGCCGTGTACACATTGTAGTATAGTTTGTATGCAACTTGTGTGCAATGCCCTCCCAGGTCTAGTTGCACGCTATTTGGCATATCATCTACTGGCTGCTAATGCTGTTTTCAATGCATTGTTGGCATGTAATGGCATGCCTGCTGTGGATGTTGCTTGGACGATGGGTGTCCAATAACACAGGCTCTTCCTGATGAAGCGGTGTGTACGTGTGTGTGTGTGTGTGTGTGTATGTGTGTGCATGTGTGTGTATGTGTGTGTACGTGTGTGTGTGTACATGTATGTTGTTTTGTTCCCTACAGAGCTGGTTGTTGGTGAGAGTGTGGTCATCATCAAGAAACTTCTTCAGCTACAGGTCAGTCACAATGCCAGTGTCGAGCAGTGGCCACTTCATTCCCGTAGCGGTGCTGAAGACGTCACGAATAATAGCAGCTGGCGCTAGCCGGGGTCCACGACGCTTATTTCTCATGTGTGTGTGTGTGTGTTTCTCTTGTGTGCGCAGCCATCAGAGCACAAGGAGATCATTGTCCATCTCACTAAGCTTGTGGATGGTATCAAGGTGAGGGATGCAGTTGATCATAGCAGTGCCAGTGACGACTCATTTTGCTGCGGTTGCTCTGTACGAATCCATTGTGCCTTCCAAGCATCCCGACACCTCCAGTGCCCTGTGCTGTCTTGTCCCGACGTCTCTCTCTCTCTCTCTCTCTCTCTCTCTCTCTCTCTCTCTCTCTCTCTCTCTCTCTCTCTCTCTCTCTCTCTCTCTGTCTTTCACTCACTCACTCTCTCTTTCTCCTCAAGAGTGCGATCCATCTCCTTTTCTCATCTCTCTTTCCTCTTTTCTGCTGACTTATCCGTGGCCTGTGTGTGACTACGCTGCTTTGCATGACTGTTGTATTCTGTGTGTGTGGGTGTCTGTGTGGGTGTGCTGGTGTATGTGTGTGGGTGTGGGTATCTGTCTGCATGTATGTGCATATGTGTGTGTGTGTGTGTGTGTGTGGGTGGGGGTGTGTACTAACCAGGTGCCAATGGCGCGTGCCAGTATTCTCTGGCTGATTGGAGAGTACTCTGAGCACGTACCCAAACTTGCGCCGGATGTGCTGCGCAAGATGGCCAAGACATTCAGCATTGAGGTACGTGTGCAATGCTAGCTTGAGAGCTATCAGCCTGGCAGGCGGCAAACGCTTGATACTGAAGTTATTGCATGTTTGAGTAACTTTGCGAGCTTTCAAACATGTCCTAGTTGGCTCATCTACTTAGGCCATATCATGTATAAAAAAATGTGGCTGCTCGTAGCACTGTCGCGGGCGCCTCCTGCCGACTACCTCGCACTTGACTATCTCATAACTGCGCTCTAGAGCGCTCTTATGAAACGGGAGGTCCAACTTTCGAAGCAGCTACCTTCTTCGCCAAAGTCGCACCATCTCAGTTCGCCCTATAGTATATTGGTTCTGGAAACGCTGACATGTATGACTTTGATGATACGTGGTGATGACTGCGGAATTATCACTTTTCATGCCTGCTTATAATTATATTGTTGCCATTTTGCTTTGTGATATCACTCGTCGAGAAGGGTGTCTTGTTTTGCTAATGTTATCGCCATTGTCGCTGTCGTTATCATCATATCAATATCTGGTGTTGCTGTCATTATCATCGTATCAATATTAAATTTTGGTGTCGCTGTCATTTCTGTTGCAGGAGGACATTGTCAAGCTGCAGATACTGAATTTGGCTGCCAAGCTGATGCTGATAAATGCCAAGCAGGTAAGAATCACGCCATTGCTAATAGTGTTGTCCTCGCTGGACGCCCACTTGACTCACTGAGTCCATACCCTGATAGGGCACACTGTTGCGACGTTGCGGCCAGCGATGCTCTGCCACTAAGCTATGGTGTAGGTTGTACGTCAAACACATTGCTTGAGTATTGCTTGACGGAATCTTCTCTTGTTCTCAGTGTTAAATACTTTCAAACTCGGATGTTGAGCCAATGTAATCATGGATAAAAGAAAGTGTTAGGTCGTTGCATGTCTCAGTACTCCTTGTCAGTTTTGTGCCATTTTGCCGCACTGGCTGCCTGTATAGGATCTGGTTACGTCGGTGGACAGTTCGTCGGCCGTTTGTGTCTTTCCCTCAAACCAGTGAATGAGTTAGTCATAACTGGCAACATTTTTTGTTGATTTTCATGCAGACTAAACTGTTGACCCAGTACGTGTTGAACCTGGCCAAGTATGACATCAACTATGACATTCGTGATCGGGCACGCTACCTGCGTCAGCTGCTCCTGCCAGCAGAGAAGGTAGGCCCTCGCTTGCTGGGACTCTTTTTTGCCGGGTGTGCTTCTGCCGGGACTTTTCATTTCTTTGCTCTTTCTTCCTGCGTTGTTTGTGTGTGTGTGTGTGTGTCTGCCTGTCTGTCTGTTTGTCTGTCTGTATGTGTGTTTGAAAGTTCTGCTGACATGCTGTTCCCAGCAGTGTTCACTATCTTACCATCCACCACCGACGTAGCTTTGCGGGCTATGATACTCGTGCTGCCTTGCTCAAGCTTCCAACTGCACACTGATATTACGCATTCCATGCTGCGCTATCTACTGCTCCAGTGCTTAATACATTGTGTACTGAGCACCCAACTGCCAAGCAACACATTACAGTATACTAGGGGTAAAACGATTAGTTCGAATATTCAAGTATTCGTTCGAAATTTTCAAACGAGCGAGTATTCGAAATTTTGCACTCGATCTTTTTATAATGCAATGAATATAACTAAATGCGCACTCATATCACAACCATGGGGACGAATCATGTATTCCAGAACGTTTTCTTGTCACAATTATCAATGGAATTCGTGACTAAAGAGAATGATGAAACTACAATAGGATTTATACACTTGCAGTGGAACAGCGAGGATACAAGCATAGTAAGAAAAATAGCACAAACCTAGGAACAATTTGCACAGGTAATAAACTATAGGTGAGGTGAGAAATGATAGGAAATTCAGCAAGTGCAGTGTGACAATGGACATGCATGTGTAAGTGTGTGTGAGTGCGAATTTACTGGAATAGCGTAAGTGCGATCTTTTTATATTTTTATTTTTAGTATTGGCATTGTATTTTTTTTAAACTTTTGTTGTACCGCTGGTCCACTGGTATGCATGCGTTATGCATGCATTATGCATGGCTTTGGGTCAGTATCTTAAGACTTGGACGGTGCGATCACCACGGCAAGTAACGTTCTGAGATACGAAACCACTGATGAAAATCGTTACTTTACACTCTGTACAAGACGTTGGCGACTTTTGTTCTATGTTCACAGATATTTTCTTCCGAATTGGTCGAGAACTCGCAAATCTAGCGCTTTTGAATTTTGATAAATTGGGGAGGTTGCGGAGTACGATTTTTCGTGCCAAAATCCGTAGAGGCGCCACGGATTTTTTATACGTCGTTTTCGAGCAGTGAAATGTTCCGGAGTACGGAACTTATGTGTTTGCCATCATTGCCTAGGTTACGATCGCAAACACGTCACATTCCCGCGCTATGCCTTTTATTTTGAAAATTTGTACCGAAATCAAAACTTTCCGCGGAAAATCGATGTTTCTCGTACCAAATTTGTACGCGAAAAATCGTTCTGCACCCTATGACGCAAAATCTCCATACGAAACATGGTTCGTATGAAAGCCAGTCCACACGGATTTTCCGTGCCGAAAAATCGTATGGAGCACGCCTGGAAAAAATCCGTAGCGCCCATACGGATTTTGGCACGGAAAATCGTACCTCGGAACCTCTCTAATGGTGCGTTTGGTTGGTACGATCTAGAACAGGATCGAACAGCTGGTGCACATGGAGCAGCCTCATGCCAACCAAACGGTACTCCAGAAACAGAGCACATTTTCGTGGAAAAATGTGTGAAACTTGAAAATGTGTATGGGTCACCATGGTCACTTTGTACGGTACAACGAGTCCAACCCAAAAGCGTATGCACGTGATCATTTGGGACCAAAATCGATGTTCCCGCCAGGTTTCACTGTGAAAAAGTGAAACTGCTCGGTCTGCTCCGGCCTCGAGGCCGGAGCAAGCAGAACATGTTCTGGCCGACCCAGAACAGGTGCAGTCCCAACCAAACGCGCTGTTCTGGTGTATCCTGTTCTAGTTCGTACCAACCAAACGCGCCCTAAGGCCACACCGTTTTTTATCTGTGTTTCGCGTCCCCCGCGCGCATGTATTTCACAGCCGGAGTTTTTAAAAAAAATAAAAAACGGAACAATTTTTTTTTTGGAAAATGCAATACGAATTTAATGCAAACCCAGAAAATCGGAAAATGTAACCCAAAAGGAAAAAAACGGGACATGATTGTTGTCTCAGCTCACACACATGTACATGGCTGTGTGTGTAATAAGCTGGGCCGCAAGTCACACAATCATCATGCCGCCTGTGTTTGGACCACAAGCATGGCAGAGGGGATACACTCATGTATTCATGTACATGTACATGTCAATGTACATGATTCATGAACAGTGCCGCGTCGCTTCACTGTACACAAATGCAATGCACGTACACTGTTTATTTTTGGATGGCTTATTTATTTTTTTCGCCCTCCCTCATTGATTTCATCGAATAAAGTGAGGCGAAACATAGTAAAAAAACGGCGTGGCCTAATACTCGAAATAATCGAATACTCGATCGAATATTATGAACGAGTGATCGATTGGTCAAAATAGATACTCGTTTCACCCCTACAATATACTCAATCTAGTATGTATGTGCTGAGCTTCCCAGAGCGTAATGGCAATACATATTGTGTGCTGGAATGCATTATTGTGTAGGGACCTCTGGGAAAATACGCCAAGAAAATCCTTCTCGTCTCGAAACCTGCTCCGGTGTTGGAATCTGCTTATAAGGGTGAGTGTGATGCTGCTGACCTGCTTGTTAGCATTGTGCTACTGATGGAAGGTCTTGCTTGTCCTGGTAGGAGGTACTTCATATGGTCCAGTGTCTGTCATTGCTGTGGTCTGCATGTAGGATTGTACGTAATTACAATAGCTGTGTGTGTGTGTTCTCTCTCTCTCTCTCTCTCTCTCTCTCTCTCTCTCTCTTTCTCTCTCTCTCTCTCTCCCTCTCTCTCTTTCTCTCTCTCTCTCTCCATCGGGTTTATCTGCTGTAGATCGTCAACAGTGGCAGGTTGGCTCCTTGTCATTGATGTTGGGAGCTTCAGCATCTGGTTACGTACCGCTGCCTGACTTCCCGGAGGAGGCACCGGATCCATCTGTCCGTGACGTTGAGGTGTGTGCAGAATACCTGTGCTCCTTGTACTGTGGCGAATGGGATTTTCGGTCTTTGACCACTTTGCTGGTGGGCTGATCTACTCACCTCCCACCGCTTTAGGAGCTGCATCTGCACCTTTGACTGTTCTTATTTTCTTGTATCACAATCTGTGCACAGTTGAGTCATCGTGTATACATTGGTATGCCATGCTTGGTGAGATTCTAGCCTGTTTGTTCTTCGGCGCTTGACAGTACTGTAGCACTGTGCGTTGTGAAGGGGAGCTAAATTTCTGGAGTGTGTTTGTGTGTGTGCCCCCCCCCCCCCCGTAATAGCACTATGCGTTGTGAAGGGGAGCTAAATTTCTGGTGTGTGTTTGTGTGTGTGCCCCCCCCCCCCCCCCCCCCCCCCGTAATAGCACTATGCGTTGTGAAGGGGAGCTAAATTTCTGGTGTGTGTGTGTGTGCGTGAAGAGGAGCTAAATTGCTGTTGTCTGCATGTGTGTGTGTGTGTGGGTTGGTGTTAGCAGGTGGAGTACAGCTGGGCCGAGTCTGCAAAACGTGCTGCCAAGAAGAGCAAGAAAGGCAAGAAGGGCAAGAAGAAGAGGAGCGAACTGGACTCCTTCTATTCATCCGACGAGGATTCCGATGAGGACTCTGACGAGGACGATGAAGACTCTGACGAGGATGACTCTGACGACGACTCGGATGAGGATAGTAAGTATTACTTGCGGTGCTTGCAGTGCAGTAGCACTCAACGTATTGTTTGTGTCTTGTTCGGCCTGCAAGCCCCGCAGGAGTCCACTGCGGGACAGGACAAGGACTGATTTATTTTGCAACGAGCATGCGCATATAATACAGATGAGAGAGAGAGACAGAGACAGACAGTACGGAGGGAGACAATACGACGACAAACACTATACACTACAGATTGCATTCCAGCGGAATGTAAGTTTCATAACCGCTTTTGTGTGGCTGTCTGCTACTGTGCGTCGCCTACCTTGCTTTGTGATTACCTCTTGTGGCAGGCGATGAAGAGACCGACGATGATGAAGATGACGACGACGACGACGATGAGGACGATGACGACGAAGAAGAGTCATCAGATGAAGAGGACGATGAAGAGTGGGCGGAATCCAGCAGTGACGGGGAAGTACTACCGAGCAGAAGCAAGTCCAGCAGAGACACGGACGATGATGACGAAGATGATGACGACGATGACAGCGATGATGAAGAAGACGAAGATAGCGATGAAGAGGAGAGCGAAGAAGAGAGCGATGATGAACCAGCACCACGTCCAGTAAAGGTGAGATGAATATTTATCTCGGGCTCTCTCTCTCCCTCTCTCTCTCTCTCTCTCTCTCTCTCTCTCTCTCTCTCTCTCCTTGTTCCATTTGTTCCTGCTTTTCTTCGTTCCTGTGTTGCTCGGAGGCTGAGATGTGTTGGCCTCTCCAACAGTGTTGGCAGTTCACAGTGCTGTGTTGATACTCATGTAGAGTAACTCCTTGTTTTGGTCTGCTGCGGATGTTCTGCACCGTGCAGGCCAAGGCTCCTGCGAAAGCCGCCGCCGCTCCCGCAGCTAAGCCCAGCAAGGCTGGCAAGGCCGGCAAATCGAAGGCACCCGCTGCGCAGGAAGTCTCCTTGCTAGACCGTAAGTGCCGTTTTCCCCCATTTCACCCTGCTACCACATCTCATCAGTACAAAGTATGCATGTGTTTGTTTGCCTCAACACAAGGCCTGTAGGTGTAGCTGCACTGCTTCTGTTTGAAACTATCCCATGTACAACAGCAGTAGGATACCACAATCCAAAGTAATGCTGCAATTCATACTTCTCAAACTCCATCTTTGAGAGTGTGTCAAGCTCTACGTATTGCTAATTCGGATCAATCAACTTATTCTAATGGACCATTCTTCCAGACCCGTCGTAGAAACCTCTACCTTTGACATTGGCTTCTCTCTGACCGGCCTCCTAGTTCCATTCCAGTTTTCAATTGTTTGTGTGTAACTGTGTACATGTGTGTATGTGTGTCTGTCTGTCTGTGTTTGTGTGTACGTGCGCGCGCAATTGTTTGTGTGTAACTGTGTACATGTGTGTATGTGTGTCTGTCTGTCTGTGTTTGTGTGCACGTGCGCTCGCGTGTGTGTGCGTGTATCTGTATGCGTGCGTTTATGCGTGTGTGTTTGCATTATGTGATGATACTGGTGCCGGTGTTGATGTGCATGTACCATGCACACAGTGGATGACTTGTCAGCCCCGGCTCCCTCAAGCAGTGGTGCCGGTGCTGCATTCGCACCGTCCATGCTACAGCCAGCCACAACGGCCATGCAAGCCATGTCAATCTCCACCACCTCTGAACTGCAGGTACGCTCAACCGATTTGAACCGAATACATGTGTCTTTGAGATTGTGAATGGGGAAAGTAGGAGCAGAAAAATCGCATTTAGTTGGAAAGTTACATGGTAGTTTTATGACCTGACACCTAGCTCCAACACATCTACGAAGTGCAAACCAACAACCTTCCAACTTGGAAGGCTCGGGTGCTGTTGGTTTGCGCTTCGTAGATGTGTTGGAGCTAGGTGTCAGGCTGTCGAATGTCTCAACATCCTTGGTAGTTTCATGGGTAGGGATTGGGCATCCTAGTTTCCTCTCAATATTCCCTGGAATGTTCTGTCAAGATGGTTTGCGACATGTTTCCTGCTGTCTCACCGGTATCTCCCCCCCCCCCCCCCCCCCCCCCATGGGGCATTATTCCTATTGATAATAGCCGTAATACTCATTTTGCGGTTTTCCCCCATGCCCGTGTTTTTTTACGGAGTAAATATTATTTTTCAGGTTTGATGTGCTCTGTGGGAAATGACCTCATGTGTGTTACTGTCTCTCTGTATCTCTCTGTATATATATATCTCTTTCTCTCTCTCTCTCCCTCCCTCCCTCCCTCCCTCTCTCTGTCCTGGCAGGCGAGCTCGTCCGTGTACGTGAGTTCAGAGACACACGAGTTGCTGAACCGCATCTCCGGCCGTGGCCTGGCAGCACAGTATCGCTACACACGCCGCACTCACCTCTACTCAGAGTCCATGGTAGACATTGAGGTCACGTTCACGAATAGCAGTGACGCTGAGCTCAACGACATCGCCATCACCAACAAGGTAAGCCCAACTTCGTTCTTGTAACGGTGATTCGCCTGGCCGTGCCCCATAGCATATGTCTTCTTGTAACGGGTATTCGCCTGGCCATGCCCCATAGCATATGTCTTCATGTAACGGTGATTCGCCTGGCCATGCCCCATAGCATATGTCTTCGCTGTACTGTCGTGGACATGGAAATCCGTTCGAATGACCGAGGCCGGCGTATAGGACAGTAAAACCTGTCAAGGCGACCACCTGCCCCAGAAGACCACTCGGATAAGGCGACCACCTGCCCCAGAAGACCACTCGGATAAGGCGACCACCTGCCCCAGAAGACCACTCGGATAAGGCGACCACCTGCCCCAGAAGACCACTCGGATAAGGCGACCACCTGCCCCAGAAGACCACTCGGATAAGGCGACCACCTGCCCCAGAAGACCACTCGGATAAGGCGACCACCTGCCCCAGAAGACCACTCGGATAAGGCGACCACCTGCCCCAGAAGACCACTCGGATAAGGCGACCACCTGCCCCAGAAGACCACTCGGATAAGGCGACCACCTGCCCCAGAAGACCACTCGGATAAGGCGACCACCTGCCCCAGAAGACCACTCGGATAAGGCGACCACCTGCCCCAGAAGACCACTCGGATAAGGCGACCACCTGCCCCAGAAGACCACTCGGATAAGGCGACCACCTGCCCCAGAAGACCACTCGGATAAGGCGACCACCTGCCCCAGAAGACCACTCGGATAAGGCGACCACCTGCCCCAGAAGACCACTCGGATAAGGCGACCACCTGCCCCAGAAGACCACTCGGATAAGGCGACCACCTGCCCCAGAAGACCACTCGGATAAGGCGACCACCTGCCCCAGAAGACCACTCGGATAAGGCGACCACCTGCCCCAGAAGACCACTCGGATAAGGCGACCACCTGCCCCAGAAGACCACTCGGATAAGGCGACCACCTGCCCCAGAAGACCACTCGGATAAGGCGACCACCTGCCCCAGAAGACCACTCGGATAAGGCGACCACCTGCCCCAGAAGACCACTCGGATAAGGCGACCACCTGCCCCAGAAGACCACTCGGATAAGGCGACCACCTGCCCCAGAAGACCACTCGGATAAGGCGACCACCTGCCCCAGAAGACCACTCGGATAAGGCGACCACCTGCCCCAGAAGACCACTCGGATAAGGCGACCACCTGCCCCAGAAGACCACTGAAACCAGGACCAAGGGATGCTATTTCCAGTGAAATGACCCTGGATAAAGAGACCACCTGGTCACAGAGACCGCATTTTGAAGGTCACTTGAGCGGTCGCCTTAGACAGGTTTCACTGTACGTTGCACACACAGTACACATGTTGATCGCGTGCGTACTCACGGCTGCATGGTCAGCGCACTGGTGCCGCTTGACCTCTGACTGGAATTCCATGTCCACGACAGTACATGTGTACATACGTATGCAGTATGGTGTGTTTGGAGCTCTGCCCTCGTGGCATTGAATACTTTTTGCCGGGGTTTATCAACATAGCTTGGATATGGTGCAGATGTACTTGCAGGAAACCAGGGGTTGCGGTTATTCTGCATAGATTTACTTCAACTCTAGGTTAGTTGGAGCTTATTCGAAACATCACGGCTGCCACATTGCTCTCATTCTCTCTCTCTTTCTCTCTTTTCTCTTTTTCTCTCTCTCTCTCCCTCTCTCCCTCTCTCCCTCTCTCTCTCTCTCTCTCTCTCTCTCTCTCTCTCTCTCTCTCTCTCTCTCTCTCTCTCTCTCTCTCTCTCTCTCTCTCTCTCTCTCTCTCTCTCTCTCTCTCTCTCTCTCTCTCTCTCTCTCTCTCTCTCTCTCTCTCTCTCTCTCTCTCTCCAACTTGACTTGTAGGTCCTATCAAAATTACTGTTGTCCTGGCTACTTGTGTCTATGTATGTGGCTGTGTGTGTGTGTGTGTGTGTGTGTCTGTGTGTGTCTGTGTGTTCATGCATGCGTGTGTGCACGTGTTTATTTGCTTTTCTATTTTCCGCATTTGCAACATAGAAACTTGAGGGTGGTATGACAGTACACGAGTTCAACACCATTTGTAAGTCTGCATGTCTGCTGCTGTGTGCAATATTTGCATGTCTGCTTCTGTGTGCAATATTTGCATGTCTGCTTCTGTGTGCAATATTTGCATGTCTGGATGTCTGCTTCTGTGTGCAATGTTTGCATGTCTGCATATCTGCATGTCTGCTGCCTCTCTTGTATGTCCTGCCTTCTACATGTTCAGTTAGTACCGTAATGTCGCGTGTTTAAGCTGGGCTTATTCCTGTGGAATAACTTGCTCGATCGGATTACCTTGAGTAGCACTGTAGTACAGTTTCGTAGCCTCTACTGCCTCATCTGCATACTGCAAATCAACAAATTTTCGCTGGCGATTTAATTTCGCAGATTTCGCCGTCCGATATCAATCGGCCAAAATTAATCGCCGGCCAAAATGTGTCACCAGAACCAAATGTCTACTACAGCCTGTACTCTACTACTAGTACATGCGCACACGAGACATCGATCACTTTTTTGGACTCTTGCACGCCCACGGCGAAAGTGTAGTGGCGGCGAAAAGTGTTCTTTGGAGATCGGCGAACGTTTTTCACCGGCGACAATTTGTTGATTTACAGTAGTATTGCTCTAGAAAATACCTCTTTGTCTCATTGCGTATAATTATGTGCTCTGTTACGTTTGACCATCTGTGCGGGCATGTGTGCCTGTGTCTGTGTGTGAATGTGAATAATTGTTTATGGTTGCATGCTTGCCTCTGTGTGTTAACAGCTTCACTGAAGCTGGTGAGAGTCGTACTGTCTCGATCGGTGTAGATTTCAAGGATACGCTCAACCCTGCTGTTTTCGATATCAGGTGAGAAGAACCAGCGAACTTCTGTCTTCCATGTTGCAGCGTGTGCTCATGTCCGTTCTGATGAACGCAGGCTTTATTTTGTTGGTCTTTTCATTTCTCTCTCTCTCTCTCTCTCTCTCTCTCTCTCTCTCTCTCTCTCTCTCTCTCTCTCTCTCTCTCTCCCTAGCTTACCTCTCCGTTCTTCCATAGGATTCTTTTGCAAACCTAGGTGGTACATGCATGGATGGTGCAGTGGATATTGATTCTATATTAGTATCTTCCAGGAGCGGGTCCAGAGATCTCTACGGGAGGTTCCACATTAGCCGAAACTGAATAGCTGATACCCGTACATGTACATGCATATGGTTTCCAGTTGTACATTCGCGAAATTTAGGGGGTCTTGCTCCTGTCTTCACACGTGTATTCTTTGTACTGTGCCTGTCTATGTATATCGGACCACACTAACTTGTTTTGCTTGGTTCTTGCCTGTTCTCTCTGTGTGTAGCTGTCGCACTGGCAAGTTTTCCGTGAAGATCCCACCCATTGTTGGTGAGATCATCCAGGGCGCTGTCGTGTCGGAGGCCGACTTCAAGCAACGCTCCAGTAAGTCGGTGTATAGTGAACAGAGTGAAGTGGACCACCACCTCTGCAATAATACACCCACGTGGTCACTAGAACCACACACACACACACACACACACACACACACACACACACACACACACACACACACACACACACACACACACACACACACACACACACACACACACACACACACACACACACACACACACACACACACACACACACACACACACACACACACACACACACACACACACACACACACACACACACACACACACACACACACACACACACACACACACACACACACACACACACACACACACACACACACACACACACACACACACACACACACACACACACACACACACACACACACACACACACACACACACACACACACACACACACACACACACACACACACACACACACACACACACACACACACACACACACACACACACACACACACACACACACACACACACACACACACACACACACACACACACACACACACACACACACACACACACACACACACACACACACACACACACACACACACACACATAAACACACACATAAACACACACATAAACACACACACACACACACACACACACACACACACACACACACAGAGTGAAGTGGACCACCACCTCTGCAATAAGACACCCACGTTGTCACTAGAACCAGAACTAATGGCAGGCACGTAGCCCGCATGGGGCGCGGGGCGTGTGCACCCCCTAAAAACTTCAACCAAGGTTCAGCATGCACATAATGACAATGAATGACATGCACCAGCCATTCTACACATATGCGGCCGTGCACCCCCCCCCCCCCCCCCCTTATGTACAGTATGCATGTACTGTTCAATGAAATCCAGTCGAGTCACTCAAGTGTGTGTGTGTGTGTGTGTGTGTGTGTGCGTGTGTGTGTGTGTGCGTGTGTGTGTTCATTACTGCTGCAGGTCAGCTGAAGGGCATGAATGAGAGTACGGGGCAGGCAACACTCAAGTCTGCCCAGGAGATGCACAGCCTATGCCAGTGTGTGCTACACAGCGCCGGTCTCTCGCTGGTACAGCGCTCTGGTAACGATGGCGATGATGATAGCACTCTGTTCTTTGCCGGCCGTACCACCTCCGGTCACGTCACCGTCCTGCTCAGGGTGAGTGGTTTGTCTCTCTCGGTGTCTCGATCTCTCTCTCTCTCTCTCTCTCTCTCTCTCTCTCTCTCTCTCTCTCTCTCTCTCTCTATCTATCTCTCTCTCTCTCTCTCACCCACGCAAGCACACACACACACACACACACACACACACACACACACTTATTCTTCCACAGCTCTCCTTGCTCATGTTCTTTCGCACCCTCGTTCAGGTAGATAATTCCAGGCAATGAATTTCGCCCCGATCTGCAAACTGTATTCTACATTTGTTAGACGAGGAAGTACTTGGCTGTACTTACCGTGATATGATGTGTTCATTGTTTGAGTTCCGTATACGCCAGCATGGAATCACTGACATCCCTGTCTTCTTCTCAATAACATATTTGTTGTTGAATTCTTTATTCTCACGATGGCACCATCGCCAATAAGAGTTGTTGGTGTTGTTGTTTTTGTTGTTGCTGCTGCTGTTGTCGTCGTCGTTGTGCTTATCGTGTCTCCATAGGTCGCAATGGATGGCACTGATGTCAAGCTGACGTGCAACTGTGAGAAGATGGTCATAGGTTCTATGCTGCTGAAGGAGATCAAAACTGCGTTCGCCAATCTCTAAGACGTTTACCCCCCATTCTGCTAGTGCTGCTGCTGCTAGTGCTGCTGCTGCGGCTTTTGCTTGCGTATTTTTTCACTTTGAAAGTTGCTTTTTGGCCGGTCCAAAACCCTTCTTTACGTTCACATGACATTTGTTTTTTTTTGCCAATCGTGTAGCCGCACCGCACCCTGTTACAATAACCGCTACCTGCTTTTTTCATATATCAATAATCCTGTGCAATGATATGAGATTTTCAAACGTGTTCGCGGTACTATTTTGTGCACGCCGTTGAAGGTAACTTTGTGTTGTGTGTGTGCGTGGGTGCGTGTGTGTGGGGGGGGGGGGGGGGTGCGTGGGTGTGGGGGGGGGGGGGTCGGGGTCTCATGAAAATTGCGGGGAGTTTGTGAATCTTTTTGGTACACTTGACTTGCAAGGGGATATTGGTCACTCTAGCGCCGATTCGGTGTAGATCTACCTTCCGAAACACTGCAATGTCAACTTCTTGTGACGTATAGACCAGGGAACAGTAAAATTATACTAAAATACTACATGTACTCTTTGGTATAGTCGATGATTGCCTGTAAGGCTGTATGAGAGAGTGAAAAGGAAACTTGCTGCATGCTTGCAATCTTGTTATTTTGAGAAATCCATGATGTATGCACTTCAGTCCCCAAGATAGTGAACAGCACATGCATGTGTTATATTCCTGCAAGAGTCTACTTCACTATTACTTCATCCTTTTCAATGTTTTCTTTAATATAAAACTTCAATCGCAGATAATCCGCAGAGCTCGTGGCTTCCTGAGAAATCGTTGAAATGATGAAAACATGTGCATTCCTGGATTCACGATTAAATCCACGAATGCACAGGTTGAAATTTTCACAGTGCATGCCTTTGAAGTATCATGCTTTCTATTCTTTGTTATACCTGCATGGGAATTAAAAAAAATTATACCAATTCTGTACAGCTAGGGAGTGGCGCAGGCATATTATCAAGTGCATGCATGCAAGCTTGCACGGACTTGATGCAGACCACGAAAGGAGCCTGTATTGTAGCTACAGCTAGCTATACCCATATGTACATGTGTAGCACTTCTGGCTATGGAGTCGGTATTTTAGTATAATTGTGACCACCTGATGTACATGTAAGTAAAAAAAGTAAATAATTATCGTGTCCATTCCCCGAAGGGAACTCACCAAAGAATGGTGGGGAAATCAAAGCACATTCAAGACGTATAGAAAAAAAGAAGACAAAAAAAAAGAAGAGGATAATCTTGCCAGGCCGGCAGGACGCATGCAGAGGCACTTTATCCATAATCCACTGGTGTGCAAAGCCACTGCGTGACTTCCATTCGAAATAATAGAAAATGAATCTCATGAATCTCTTATGTACAATGTGGAACTATGGTACAGAAAATAGGGCAGCAAAAAAATACAACCAGCAAATAAAAATTTACAGGTGCAGCGTGTACCGCACGGTCGTATTCTCATCAAGCGGCTGGGCAGTGGCAAGGTGTGAGCTTCCATACATCTGCCATAGGCTAGTAGCCGCTGGCTTGGCAAGTACTGTACACGAGTCTATATTCTACCCTATTTAAAAAAAGTTATAATAATTATTATGTACAAAGTCGAATTGTATACACACGCTTGTGAAAGAGACCGACGATGCTGGGCGGTGGAAAAGTCTCAGCTTCCATGCACGTATCTGTCATCGGCTAGAAGCAGCTGGCTTGGCAAGTACTATACACCAGGGAGTACGCCCTGCTGTACACGAGTCTATGTTCTACTCCATTTAGCTGAAGTTATATTTTGCACAAAATGTACAAAGGCGTTTGTGAAGTAGACCGAGGATGCCGTGAGTCCGCCGCTGCGTTGGTAAGGGATGGATACGAGTGACAAGTGAGCAGATGTACAAGGTAGACTTGAGTAATGACTCTACAACTGAATACACACTACCAGATAATAGTCATGAATACATACACATATGATACAGGTGAGAGAGAGAGAGAGAGAGAGAGAGAGAGAGAGAGAGAGAGAGAGAGAGAGAGAGAGAGAGAGACAGAGAGAGACAGAGAGAGAGAGAGAGAGACACACACACACACACACACACAGAAAGAGAGAGAGAGAGAGAGAGAGAGAGAGAGAGAGAGAGAAAAGAGAGAGAGAGAGAGAGAGAGAGAGAGAGAGAGAGAAAAGAGAGAGAGAGAGAGAGAGAGAGAGAGAGAGAGAGAGAGAGAGAGAGAGAGAGAGATATGACAGGCGCAGAGAGTACCCAGCCAGTCTCAGCCAGCCCTACGTCAGCAAAGGCAGCCGACTCAGAGTCAAACATCACTGCTACGCCACAAACCACTAAGCCCCAAGACATAGGTACACTGCATGGCATGGCCGTGTCCTTAATCCTCCATCTCACACATCTCATCCTTTTCGTCGTCATCGTCACTGTCCGCTGCACGACGACGTCCGCGGAACTTTTTCCGCGCGGAAAACTTGACGGTGGCTGGCTGAGTGGATGAGCCTCCACTGACAGTAGTTGAGGATGCATCCTGTGTGCCAGGTTTATCATCGGCATCAACATCAGCATCAGCATTCTCAGTGAAGGATAACACTTGATCTGTTGAGGACGTGTGGCTATCGCCACCACTGCCGCTGCTCGCATTCGAGTCCGCTGATGTCGCTGCGCTCGCGGCGAGCTTCGTCTTGCGATCGGCCGCACGGCGAAACACGACGCGACTGGTGTCCACGCCCTCGTCCTCCCGTGCCATCTCCTCGTCGTGACGGCGACGTATCTCGGCAAACAGCTGCGCCGCGCCGGCCTTGTTCTTCTCCTCGTCGCTCAGTCCCGCGTACGGCCCCTCGGGATTCTCCTCCAGCGAGTACTTGGTGTAGCGTTCCGGGTGCAGGACGTGGTCCGGAGTGCTGCGGTGAGTGTTGTTGTTACGTCGCTTTCTACCCGGCGGTACCGACAGGCCGGCGGCTGGCGCTTCGAAGTCGTCCGCACCCTGTTTGCGTTTGTGCGGGTTCGTGCTGCCAGCGCCGTGGAATGCATTGCCGTCGACATCGGCATTGCGGCTGCCCGAGGGTGCTGCTGGACCACCAGCCCTGCGTGCTGGCGCCACGTATGTACCACCCCTGCTGCCTCGTGGAGATTCCCGACCAGTCACGTGATCGCCTGTACCTGCTCGACCTCCTCGACTGGCTGATGTAAATGAGGAGCCTGATGTCGCAGAGGACTCGAGCAAATCATCAGGGATGTCCGTGGGTAAAGAGGCGCTCGGCAGGGAGCCGAATACAGCCGCTGCTCGCGACTGGAACGCTGTGCTCGTCCCCTGCGCAAGAAACATCCGTCCACCGCTGCATTGCTTTTCCTGCTCAGTCATTCCAGTGCCTGATCAAGCAACGTTCAAATCTACAAAAATCCAGTTCAAAGACTTCTTCCAAAGAATCCAACAAACAGCAAACAGAAACGATTGTTGAAGCAGGTATGGTACGAACAAGACGGAACAGAGCGGAACAAGTCGTGTGCGCGTGAACGAGACGCCGCGCCTGCAAACAATACGAAAGTTGAAAGCAAACCACCTACAGAAAACAAAATAAATTGCTTTTCTTCGAGTTTGAAGTTTGCCAGCAGCTCAAACGGCTCGTGGGACAGCTACGAAGACTCGTACAGCCTAGCGAACATGCGAAGGGGATTTACCGGGACTGCTGAATCTAATGAAACTCGGGACCGAACCCTGAAGTCCGAGTTTACAGGCAAAACCGCCTAGGAATGCGGCGAGCTTCCCCAACACCAATCTAAACGTGTTGCTAAAACCGCACTAAAATGACTCAAACCAGACTCAAACCTTCGAATCCGCGTGAATCGATCGCAAAGCACACTTTTTTTGCGGAATATATTATTGCTGGAAGAAAGAAGAAAGAAAGCTAGCTGTATTTTTCGAAATGGAGGAAAGTTGTTTTTGGAAATAGAGATTTTTTCCTGCAATTCTTGGAATGCATCTCCTCCGTTCTTTGATCACACGTAGCTCTGCTGTCAGGAGCGGCTTGCAACATCAACATCAGAGGTACGCGACGAGGGGTCGAACTGACCGGTTTGTTTGGGTCGTTTGGAATCGGACACACCACGTGGAGTTATTCTAGATCGTTTTCATGTCGGAGTATGCAGGCTACATGTCGATGAGCATGCACATGAATTCCATTCTCGCTAATAATTCGTATTTCATCTCATGTTTGGTTCTGCATGTCCGTGGTTGGTTTCACCCTCACTTCCTTGTATTGGCTATTTTCATTATGTGTCATGAAGTGCAGACAGTAAATACAGTATTCTGCCATGCGAAATTTATAATCAATTTTGTTCTATTATTTCTCAAAATATTGCATAAACTAAACTGCTAGTTCTTATGTCATTGACTCAAGTGTTTCCTGGGATAGCCATACCGAGGATGATGTAGTCCATATTTTGAAGTTTCAAATTATTAGTCACTCCCCACTGCTTTATCTAATGCCGCTCATCCTATCATCTCTTTGACGATGTGTGTGTGTGTGTGTGTGTGTGTGTGCGTGCATGCGTACCGGAATCCAGGTGTACAAGAGCATCATTGCGTACTCTCTCCGTTCTTTCACCGAGACGGTGTTCTAGCTCTACTACTGGCACCACTCTTCACCAACAAACCTGTTCTTCTGCTCTCACACTCTCCTCATCACATATTGGGTAAGTGATAATGGCAAGAAGAAAACCAAACACCTCATCATTGAATGTACCCTAAATTACTGCGAGAACGCCCCAGCATCTTGTCCTTCCGCGGTCCTGTCGTGGGGGTGGTGTCCTGTTTGTAGCTCACACGACATGAACCTTGTACACACACTGCACGTTGTGCAGTCAATCCGTTCTCAATTTACCTTTGAGCGGACGCGAACTCCACAAATAAACCCGTTAAGTGTGACCTTAGTACACTAAGCCGTTCTCACATAGTACAAACTTGGTTGCACTCTGCCGTGCGGTTTTCCTTTCCCTGGCTGTAGAGTCAAGGTGCGGCGCTCTCGCGGTACTCCACAGTACATGTGGCGTAAGGCCTGTGGGGATTGCCCTATTAAACATTTAATAAATATATTGTGTCATAATCATGACCTGTAATAGGGTAGCCAGTGCAGGCTAAATTTTATTTTTCAAGGAAACCCTTCGAAAATGGTACCAATCGATTCAGCATGGCATTTTCATTCCTCCTGCAAAGTTTCAGCTGATTTGGAGTCATGACAAGGACGCTATGGCGATTTGAAGATCGAAAAACTTCAGTTTTGTTTGTCAAGAAGAAAGGCCATGATCGCACACAAATCATACAACCCGTGTGGCACAATGATTTTTGAACGAAGTAGATCCGCGGACCCCGTGCTTCGCGCATGCACGCATGCATACTGCACAGTACAGAGGCTTTTTTGAACGCAGATATGTAGTTCTTTGTCTTCTTCGAAATGTCTTCCAAATGCGTGGTGCTGGTGTTGTTCTCAGCTTCGTCAAGGCAGAATGCAGCTGCATGTGATGCTCCTGTGTGTTCATGCATGTTCTCTTTTCGCGTCTCGACATTGTAGCGTCCAGACTCAGCTCGACTGGAGAAGATTGAGGAGACTATGCTTTGATCTACATGGAAAAATGATGAAATCTGGTAATTATCGTCGGGCGCTAAAAAGCGCTGGGGAGCATGGGGCTAAAACTTCGTAGCAGTCATCCCTACCATGACAGGCATCGTCTGGTGTATGTTCCATTCTGTTCCCAACCACTACGGGTCGTCTGCGAAGCTTTCTTCCTCGCCTATTCTCGGACAGATCGTACGTCTTCGCACTGTATCTCTCGTCTCCCTCAACGGATCAAAACACGGTTTTCGCCAGGACGAACACAAACCCCCAGATTTCGTGGCGGCAACATCTTCGAGTAGGGAAAAGCTAGCAGCTAACCAGGAATCACCAACAAACACGTGTAATACTCAGTGTGATTTGCGACAGCTGTCATTGTGCCGTCGCACCATGCATGTACCATGCACGGGAATGGAACACGGATGAGTCGTTTTATTACGACAGCCTGCACTGGCTAAATAGGGGTCTTTTTGTCCAACGAGTGCGCTGTTATCAGTACGGAGGCTATGGAAGTAGAGCTGCCAAAAACAACACTCAAATCACAGGCAAGAACCACTGAGATAAGTAGAGCTTCCGAAACAATACTTTAAAACCAAGTCAAACATTGGCAACAAACGAAAAAGGAAAAAAAAGCAGTATGACTTTTTTTAGTGACTTTTTTTAGTGACTTTTTCAATTCTTGCTGCTGCTCTCGCTGCTTCTGCTGCTACTGCTGCTGCCACTGTGTTTTGTGCTATCAGGCAATCCCGTTTCTTCACAAGTACCACTCCAGTGCTAACAGCACCCACATCATCATCATCAGCAAGCATGTCTGTGGCACCGGAGAAGATTGACAGTGCCGTGAGGTTGCACTGGGCGGATATCAGCGCTGAGAGGATCCAAGCCCTGAGCGACGATGTCATGGCCATTGGCAAGGGCATGCTGAGCAAGGTGTCTGCCATTCCGCTCACCGGTGTTACCTATGACAACACCATACAGGTATGTCTTGAACCACGCGTCCGTCCGTGTGTTAGCTATAGAATGGGCTTGGGTTGGTGGGGACTGGGGAGGGGGCTGGGGTCGTCTAGATATGTGCAACTGGGTGTATGTGCGTGTGTGTGTGTTGGGGGGGGGGGGGGGGGGGGAGGGTTCGTTTGAATAAGTGTGTGTAGGGGAGGGGAGGGGGGGGGGGGGGTCGGTCGGATATGTGCAATCGGGTGTATTTGTGTGTGTGTGGGGGGGGGGGGGGGGGAGGGGAGGACAGAAGGTGAAACAATCTTTGATGAGAAACTACAGGTCGTGCCTTTCCGCCGGGTTGCTTCCTCCGTATGAGATATTTTGTAAGACAGGTTGTGCTGGGATAGGGGAAAGGAGAGCAGACGAAGAGAAGATTATGAAGCAGTGTTCCAGAACACTGTTCAATGAGAACAACAGTGGTGGCTCCTTCCATACGATATGTACTGAATCACTGTGTTTGTGGGGATCTGGGAAAGGAGAACAGGAGAGCAGACGAAGAGAAGACGAGGTAATCTTCAATGAGAACTACGACGGTGGCTCCTTCCATGCATTATGTACCGAATCGCTGTATGGAAAGGTGAGCAGAACTACACAAGGTGAAGCAATCTTCAATGGAAATTGCAAGTTGTGCCTCTCCGGTGGTGCCTTCCATATGAGATTTACTGGATTACAGTTTGTGTAGGTGTGTGGGAATGGAGAACAGAACTACAGTGGATGAAGCACTCTTCAATGAGAAACTGCGACGGTGGCTCCTTCCGTACAAGATGTACTGTATCACAGTTTTTGTGGGGATATGGAAAGGTGAGCAGAACTACACAAGGTGAAGCAATCTTCAATGAGAAGCTACAAGTTGTGCCTCTCCGGCGGTGCCTTCCATAGGAAATGTATTGTATAGCAGTTTGTGTAGGGATATAGGAAAGGAGAACAGAAGAAGAGAAGATGAAGCAATCTTCAATGAGAAACTGCACACCGTGCCTCTCCGCGCCTGTTCTGCGAGTGCAGAGTAGAGCAGCAACATTGTATTGTAGTACACGGCGATTGCCTGCAGGCCTGGCCGCTTCCAACTGCTTGTGGTGATCGATGACGGTCCAGTGGATGAGAGCGACTCACCACTCCGCAGCTCGCCGCACGAAGTCCACGTCCGTGTTGAACTCCTGTTGTTGCCAGGTTCGATGCCCGCTAAGAGATCCCGGCTGAATGAATGGGCTTATAGGGTACGCTGGATCGCCATTATGTACGTAACAGTGGCCATCCGGTACTGCAGTTGCTTGAGGAGTCAACTCTCTCTCTCTTCCTCCCAGTGGAGAGTTCCTGGTGTTGCTGAGTAAGATGCCTGCTGAGAGATGCCCACTGGATAAATAGACCAGCAGGTTAAGCTTGCTGGCCATGTGGGTGGCAGAATGCGGTACTGCCGGTGTTCTACAGGGTGCGCTCGGTGAAATCCGACCCAAAGTGCTAAGCTTGGCGCCCTGAGGCAGCTTTTATTACATCAGTGTATCTGTACATGTGCACGTTCAGCCGCATTCGTGCCGCTTCCAGGGCGTCACGGGCCGTGCAAGCTGAGGACGCCAAATACGCACTCTGGGTCGGATTCCACTGAGCGCAACTGTAGGTGCACACTCTCTCCCAGGACGTGTGTGTGTGCATCGTGACAACAGCCTTCAGCATGGCCATAGATTAGAGATGCAGGTACATAGCCTGCATGTGGGGCACAGGGGGGGGGGGGGGGGGGGGGCATGTGCACCCCCCTAAAAAATATTTTGACCTATGTTCAGCATGCACATATTGACCATGATGACATGCACCAGCCATTCTAGGCTACAGTACACATATGGTACAGCTGCCATGTACCCCCCCCCCCCCCATAAGAGGGGGACCAGCTACGCCCCTGTGTGGTGGGTGATGAATCCGTCAACTGTGCTGTCACCGGCTGAAACTTCAATCCCCGGATGTTTGTTCTGTTCTCATGATACGTTTTCGTTTCGGTGACTACGGAACATGCTTGTGTTCCATCTCTCTGTTGCTTTCTGTGGCTCTAGGTCCTGGAAGATACGGAGCGTGAAATGTCCACCATGACCAGTATGGTCACGTTCCCTTCTAGTGTACACACAGGTATGTGTGTGTGTGTGTGCGTGCGTGCGTGCGTGCGTGTGTGTGTGTGTGTGTGTGTGTGTGTGCCAGCTAGTTCGGTTGGTGGGTACACTTATGCCAGATAGTGTTGGGCTTGTTGCCAACGGGCTCGGCTGCTTGAAGGTGTATTGTTGTACCTACCACCTTTGTTGGTTTCAGGGTTCATATACTTTCTATTTGAAGTATACATACCTGTTAACCATGGACTGCTTCTGGCTAGATTAACTCTTGTGTAATCAATGGTGCTAGTGAAGCTTATATCAGATCCACTCTGATTTAGCCACCCACACTAGTACCAAGTATTACCTTCACTGGGGGCAGGGGTACCTGCAGTTGGATCCCGGGACGGATACCCTGATGCCGTCAATCCTTTTTCTGCACCTTGTCCTCACCCACTTACTGAGGTGTGGTGAGCCCATAAGTGGGATCATTTCAAGTCCACCCTAGTTTGGGGATTTCAGGGGGTGTCGGCCGTTGGGTGGTTCAATGGCCAATTGAGTCATCTTTCCAAGATTCCTTTTGAGTCTCTCTCCCCTCTCCCGGGGAGACCCACGTGACCAGTTTTGGCAGTGGGCAAGTACAAGTGTGTGTGTGTGTGTGTGTGTGTGTGTGTGTGTGTGTGCGTGTGTGTATGTGCTGCACCACGTATTCTAGTTGGTTGTCGTTTCTGCCGACTTTAGTGTTCTTCTTCGTCTTGTTGCCTTTGTCCTTCTGCTTGTTGTTATTGCTGTTGTTCTTGTCGCGCTTTCCACCTCTCTAATATCTCTATTTTACAATGGTGTCGTTCTTGTTGTCATGGTGTCGTTCTTGTTGCCATGGTGTTCAGACAAAGACGTTCGAGACGCCAGTACGGCTGCAGACAAGGTTCTATCAGACTTTTTCGTCGAGTTGAAGTAAGTGCCGGTGTGTACGTGCTTGCGCAGCGAAGTGCATAGCTTTTGAGCAGTTGAAACAAGTTTTTTTTTATTATGAAGGGTCCGTTTTAATTTCTCACGGATCATTCACGAGATTTTGTCAATTTTTTGAACAAAAGTAAAAAATACAACCAAAGGCAATTGGAGAGGACTATCTTTCAGAGATTTTCTGGGAAGCGCTTTCAAATTTCATCTCCGCCTTGCCAGTAACTGGCGAAAAGCAGTCAAAATGTCCCCAAAATGTCCCCTCCCCCCTCCCCCACACACACCACCACCTTACACCTTTCTTTGCTTTCCGTTGAATTTGCTGGTGAGCAGTGTTGCCAGGCATCTGCCAGGCCGCTGGGAGTTGAGCTGCGCTGATGGTACCAACCAATGCATGGATACTGGGCTGTCTGGAGAGTGAGAACTTACGAGTCTGATTGTCCTTGGCTTTTTCTTGATGCGGGTGTTTGAAACGTTGCGAGCGTGCCTGTGTGAGGAGGGATTATTCAGCACCAGTGCCTCGAGGCATAGCTGTAAATTGATTATTGTCTTCTCTCTTCTGGTCATGGTGTGAATTTCAGATGCAACAAGGATGTGTTTGACCGCGTTGTTGCATTCAAGGTATGATCGTGTCAGTAACGCATTGATTCTGCAAGATAGCGGTGATACCTGTTGTACATGCCCTGTGCATTGTGCTGGTCGATGACTGTGTCAGTGAAGTCTGTACATCATGTCTAAGCTAGCGGTGGCCACCGAGTGCTGGTTGAGTGCTAGTGAATTCTTGAGCCCGATTGTCGGCAAGCAAACATATCTACAGGTACTTGTGCCGTATGTCAGCGCCTTTAAAGCCATGGCCTTATAATCGAACACCGCTGCTTTCCTAGCTACAGTGAAACCTGTCTAAGGCCACCCCTCAAGGGACGAGAAAAAGTGGTCGCCGTGGCCAGGTGGTCTTCTTATCCAGGTTCAGACTTCAGTGGGTCACGTGACCATATTCACATGTGATTCATCATTTTGATCAGTACATCACATGTGCACACACCCATGCTACTCTTGCACGATTCATGTGCCTGGGGTCCTCAGACCTGTCAAATGTCGTGCGTGCACCATGTAGTGATGTACATCTACACTTCCTGCTCTGATGTGTAGATCTACCATGCCTGGTGCACCATGCAATCAAGAGTTCATAACTTATAGTTTAATATGAACTCTTGATGCAATGCATACATTTTACATGGCTAGCACTGTGCAACGCGGTCGCGGGTGGGTGGTCGCCGGTCGCGTTGAGCGAGTGGTCGCCTTATCCGAGGTGTTTTGAATGTGAATGCGTCCGTGACAAGGAAAAGTGGTCGCCATGGTCGAGTGGTCGCCATATCCGAGTGGTCGCCAGTACAGGTTTTACTGTATTTTTAGATGCAAAATGACTCACCCACTACCCCATGCCATAAAAGTCAAAGTCCACACAGAAATTTCAATCTAAATCTACTTGTTCATCCTTACTGCTGGGCTGTACGTTTGTCAGCATAGTACTTATTCCTTCATTTTTGATTTCATTTATGAAGCACATGGCTTTATGACCAAGACTGGTTTTATAATCGAATATACCGCCATGGCTTTAACCTTTTGAGCACGACGCTACCTGAATGCCGCCCCACGTCAACACCTGCAAAAATCGCGTTTTTCCTATGAAAGTAGTAGCTGTTCAAGGATCGATAACTTTACCTTTCTTTGGACGAATTCCACGATCTTGAGCTTCCTGCAAAGGTCTTGAGACGAGGAACAAAATAGTTCCAAGCTCAGCTCGGAGCGACACCAAAAGCCCATGCTACAGTCTGGCAAACTTGACGCACGCGCTCGACAGACTTGAGCACGGCCAGGAGATCAAATCCTCAGCCGCCATTTCACTCTCCTTGCTCGTATCGAGCTCAAATTTTTTTGAGGGCTCGCCAGATCCGCTGCCATCATTTGAATCTAGTTTCCATGGCAGCAGATAGCGCGAAAATGATCGAAAATGGAAAATACGCGTTCTGCAGAGTTCGCAAAAAAATCGATTTGAATTTGCCGTGTCGAGGCGCATATCTCAACAACCCGGGGTCGTATCGCTTCGGCGATTGTTTCTATCGCAAGCTGAGAGTTTTCTCTTGCAGATACATATTTCGATCGTGAGAATCGGCCAAGAATTGACCGAGTTACGATAGTTTGAACTCACGCGGTTCATGCAAATCGCGTTTGTACGCTTTGTACACTCACGACGTAATAATACGTCATGCGTGGGTGCAGTGACACTGTACGTGACGTATTAATACGTCATGCGTGCTCAAAGGGTTAAAGGTGGGGACATACGGTATGTTCCATTGCACTGTATTCTGGGCAAGCACTCGTGTACATGACTGCCATTCATCATTGTGTGTTAATAGTACTGAAGTAGAGAGGTTCTGCAAAACGAAAAGTCGAACGAAGTTTCGCGACAGGCCTTGCGAAAATGTGTACGAATTTTCGCACGAACTTGTGTTCTGCACATTTTCGTAGTTTGCACGCGCCAAGTGCACGTACGCCATGATCTGATCTCACGAAATTTCCCAAGAAAGTTCATTTCGCGTTCCCTGCAAAGTTGCGAAAGTTCGTGCGAAGTTTCTCACTTCATGACGTAGAGAGAAAGTTTGTACGCATTTTCGTTTTGCAGAACCTCTCTATTGTGTGTCATTGTGTGTGGTTGTGTATCGCTGTATGTCGTGTATCGTTGTATGTCATTGTGTGTCCTTGTGTGTTGTTGTGTGCTGTTGTGTGTATTGCTGCATGTCATTGTTTGTCGTGTTGTATTGTGTGTGTGTGTGTTTACATTCACTGGTGACTTCTGAACTGGCACATTCATAGGAGAAGTTCTACGATGATCTGTCGGAGCAGGGCAAACGTTACGTCAATTTCTACATTCGCGATGGACGCCGCCTCGGTACGTTCTAGATACCGCTTCGCTCGTGCGTTTGTATGTGTGTGCGTGCGTGCGTGCGTGTGTGTGTGCGGCGTGCATGCGCGCGTGTGTGTGTGTGTGCGTGCTCGTATGTGCGTGTGCATGCGCACGTGTGCATGCAATTGTATGTTTATTTGTCTGTATGTGTGCTCGTAATGTCATTATTGCTGGCATCCCTCTCTGCAGGTCTTCATCTGTCTGAGGAGATCCGCAAGCAGGTGCAGGGCATTGATCAAGACCTGTCCAAGCGTGGCATCGACTTTGTACGTAACCTTGCAGAAGATAAAACCGAGCTCACGTTCACCAGAGAAGAGCTAGGTAAGGAATATGCAACCTCGTTTATGCATACCGTACCTTGATTATGCAAACCTCGATTATGACCCCCCCGGGCTTGTAACCAAGCACAAGTCCAGTTTGGTGGTGGTTTTGGTGGTGTTTTCCTAATATTCTTGGCCATGCCATTGTTCATGGTCAAAATCGCAGTTCTTCTTGCAGCTTCTGTTGAGTGGTGGTGGCTTAGAGTACACTTTAGACTCTGCTCTTCTTTGCTTTCTTTGTTTTTATGCTGGATGACGTAATTGGTCCAGCACCGGAAAAAAATACCGTACTCACTTGATTAGAAGCCCCTCTCGAATAAAGTCCCCTCTTGAATAATAGCCCCCTACAAGGACTGTTTGAAAAAATACAAGCCCCTCTCGAATAGAAGCCCGTACTACTCTTCGCAAAGCATGGGGTGACCAGGTAGTGCCATGTATGAAGGTCAAGTGTGCAAAAAACATCTCGTGCATGTTCATATTGGTACATGTCCTGGTCGACGTAGTGTGTGCAAACTAACTCGGGGCCGAGTTGCTGTGAATATGAAAGTTTTAGAGATTCGATTGGAATACTGGTATGGAATGAAACAATGAAAGCCCCTCTTGAATAGAAGCCTCGTCAAAATTGGTATTGAACAAATAGAAGCCCCCGGCTTCTAGTCGAGTGAGTACGGTAGTGCCCTTTCTTGAATAGTTCCCCATCCAGGGGCACTAATCGCACGTGTGAAAAAAAGCTACTTGACAAATCTAACCGTGGGTGCGACTGTGGAATGGTACTGTTTCCGATGTACATTCTATCTCTTGGTCAGCGTTGCTGTTCCTAATGTGAATGTGTATATTTGTGTTTTCCTGTTCCCCTGGTGCTGCTGCTGCTGCTCAGCTGGCATGCCTGATGATTTCATCAACTCTTTGGAGAAGGTAAGCGTTGAAATCTGCGTTGTTCTTGGTTCTCTTCAAGTTCATCAAAGAAACCTTCTTCACCTTGAGTATTTGAGGAATATTTTACTGAATACTGATGTTGTTCTTGCTGCTTCTTGCTTGGCTGCTGCTGTTGGTGGTGGTTGTGGTGGTCCTGCTGCTTCTCCCTCTCTCTCTCTCTCTCTCTCTCTCTCTCTCTCTCTCTCTCTCTCTCTCTCTCTCTCTCTCTCTCTCTCTCTCTCTCTCTCTCTCTCTCTCTCTCTCTCTCTCTCTCTCTCTCTCTCTCTCTCTCTCACACACACACACACACTCTCTCTCTCTCTCTCTCTCAAACCTATCCCCAGACAGACGGTGGTGATAAATACACGGTAACAATGAAGTATCCGCACACTGTACCGATGGCTAAGGGTGCACGCAATGCTGATACACGCCGGCAAATGAACATAGCGTTCAACTCACGGTAAGCAAGCCAAGACAAACTATTGAACTCGATTACATCGTGGCCATGTGGATACATGTCGATATGGCCGTGTCTTGGCAGTGCCTTGGCTGTGTCGATATGACCGTGTCTTGGCTGTGTAGATTTGACCGTGTCTTGGCTGTGTAGATATGACCGTGTCTTGGCAGTGCCTTGGCTGTGTCGATATGACCGTGTCTTGGCTGTGTAGATTTGACCGTGTCTTGGCTGTGTAGATTTGACCGTGTCTTGGCAGTGCCTTGGCGGTGTCGATACGGCCATGTCTTGGCTGTGTCAATATGACCATGTCTTGGCTATGCGGCTATGCCTTGGCTATGCGGCTATGTCTTGGCTATGTAGATACAGGTATGCGGATATGTGTGTACATGTATTATGGATACTGTGTCTCAGGTCTTTGCTGCAAATAGTCATCTGATGTGTTTTTTTAACACGAAACTCAGAGTCATGATAACGATATTGGTCTCTGTTGCTCTGCCTTGCGTATGTGGATATGGCCATGTCTTGGCTATTGGGCTCTGTGGATATGTGTTGTGTGGATTCAGGTGTAAAGATGAGAACACAAAGATTCTCGAGGAAATGTTGGAGCTGAGAAAGCAGGTATGTCCAAGGTAGTCATTGTGTGTGCGTGCGCGCGCGCGTGTGTGTGTGTGTGTGTGTGTAAGTGTGCGTGTGTGTGTGTGCGCATGGTTACGTGCGTGGGTGGGCGTTCCTACGGATGCGGAAAAATCAGTCCGACTCAATTCTAAGGTCGTTCTCTTCTTGGGATGTGTGTTCGCCGCTTCTGGTTTTCTTCAGAAAGCATCACTTTTATCTTATCCTTCCTTCGCTGACTACGTTCTGGAGGTGAGTACCTGTTGTTTCTGCTAAGAGTACCTTTTCCGTGTGTGTGAGGTTGGGGTTACCTGTTCTCCCTTTCTCTCCTGGTATCATGTCTAACATTGGGTGTGGCCCAAGCGAAGGCTAGGCTCATGCCGACGGCAACGCGAAAGGGCTGATGATGTGTGTGTGTGGGGGGGGGGGGGGGGGGGTAATGGTGCGTGCCTGCGTAAGTAACACCCGATTGGCATGTGTTCTCCCAGAAATGCCGTTTTTTAGTCTACTGTTTCGTTTCACTATTCTCCTTCCAATGTCTTATTGGTATGATACATTCCACTTCTACTTCAACATGCCCATTGCTGAAGCGATGATAGCGAACAAACTTGTGCAGGGATTACACCATTCAACAGCTTGCAAGGCTGATGAACTGACTGCCACTAATTTAAGCCTGGTCAACGCCACACCGCTGATTGGAGTGGCTTTTTCTGGCCTGTATATCCCCTATTTTGTGTTGTTGTAGACTCGCATGGCTGGTGGCAGTAGTGAAGTGAACACGTTTCTCACATCGCTGTCCGATCGCCTCACCCCTCTCTGGGAAAAGGAGTTTGCCAAATTACTGCGCTACAAAGAGGAAGAGGTAAGCTTTGTGAGTGTGTGTGTGTGTGTGTGTGTAGGCACGCACGTGTGTGTGTGAGTGTAAGTGTGTGCATGCGGGCACGGGAGCGCGTGTGAGTGTGTATGTAGCGGGGGCTGCGTGTGAGAGCTGAGTTTAAGATACGTGGTGGCAGAGTTAAAGTCAACAAATTTTCAGCGCAAATTTATTTTCGGCTATTTTCGGCCTGATCATATTTGGCCGAAAATTTGTTGCAGCCGAATTTTTGTATTGCAAGGTTCAGTGTGACAGTGTATACAGGCATCAGCAGTACAGGCATCAGCAGTACAGGCTGGAAATGTGTTTTAGCGCTGGGAGGCCGAAATTTGAATGGACTGAAAATTTGTCGACTTACAGTACGTCACACTACCACTGCAAACTCCATCATTTGGCACGATCATTGTCGAGGAACTCTTCTGAAGGGCTTGGTTGCTAAGCTTTTAACACCATGATAACTGTTATGCAAGTTTTCTACTTTATGCAATTTGTTCTTGCTTATCTAACTAACTGAAAGCTGCGGGCATTTTTGGAATTTGAAATGTCTTCTTTTTCTCGTAAAAAATTGAACTCGGATGTTGAGCCAACTCGTAACATTTTTGCCCGTCTTTTTTTTCTTGTAGTGTGCAAAACTCGGTGTGCCGTTTGATGGTGAAGTGCATGCGTGGGATGTGAATTACTACAAGAATCGTATCGAGGAGGAAGAGTACTCCGTGGATCATGACAAGTACAAGGTCTACTTCCCCATGGAGAAAGTCACGGAAGGTCAGTACTACTTCGAGTAGTAAGCATGCAGGGGTGTGTGACCGTAGTTACTGGTACCCGGATGGTATATAAAAGACCAGGACTCTGCCAACCGGGTTATGGTTGCAGTCGGGAGCACTGTGCGTTCTCGCCTTGTAACATGCTGTCGACATCGATATAACTCGGATATAACTCACACAGTGCACCTCAAGGTCGAACAAGCGGTGCAACTTAAATTCGAGTTTGACGGATTACACATTGGAACTATTCGACAGTCCCGGGCATTTCTAATTGGATGTGACTTGTAATCGGGGAAATATGGTTCGTGTTTGTGTCTGTGTCAGTGTGACTGCGTTTTGTTGTCTTGGACGTGTTGTAAGCTGTTTTGTGTGTGTGTGTGTGTGTGTGTGTGTGTGTGTGTGTGTGTGTGTGTGTGTGTGTGTGCGTGTGCGTGTGTGTGCGTGCGTGCGTGCGTGTGTGTGTGTGTGTGTGTGTGTGTGTGTGTGTGTTGGGTTGTCTTCAGGACTGCTGCAGATCTATCAGGTGAGCAGCAGTTGGATTTGTGTTGTGATGCAGGGTGTTTTCTGTTCCTTTCCTTTCCGGCAGTAGCAAACTTTTCTTGTGATGTGCTAGAGATGTACTGTTGTGTAGCTACAGGACTGAATTGCTAAGTTTCCCGGCGCGGCTGATTGGCTTGGTTCCCTTGGTTACCTTGCCTGTAGAATGTTGCAAAAGAAGGAACACGAGTGACACGCACTCACTCACTCGCTCTCCCTTTCTCGCGCTCACTCTTGCACTCGCCGACTCACTCGGTCATGCATCTGTACACTCGTCCTCGGAGCCTTGACATTCTCACTGTCACCCGCTCGCTCACCGTCCCTCACCCGTTCACTAACAGCCTTTCTTTCCTTGGTGTGTGTGTGTGTGTGTGTGTGTGTGTGTGTGTGTGTTCTCTGTGTCTCTCCCTCACCGTCACTCGCCCATTTACCAACACCCTTTCTTTCCTTGGTGTGCGTTCTCTGTCTTCTCCAGGATCTTCTCGGAGTAGTGTTTACCAAAGTTGAAAATGCAGACGTCTGGCATCCCGATGTTACAATGGTAATGCTGTAGATCTTCGTTGACTTCTCTCTGCCCAAAGTTGAAGCAAATGTTACCACTTTCAGTTGAGCGTGTAGCGATTGCTGACTGCATGTGTGATCTCAGGATTTTTTTTAGCTCTACTGTGCTATTCACCTTTTGGAGCGTGACAATGTTTAGATCACCTTCATGAGCGTGTGTGTGTGTGTGTGTGTGTGCGTGCGCGTGCGTGCGTGTGTGTTCTCTGTTCAGTATCACGTTACTGAAAAAGAGAATGGCTGGATGCTGGGTTCGTTTTATCTTGATCTTCATCCGCGCGAAGGAAAATACGGGCATGCTGCATGCTTCCCGTTGCAGGTAAGTCTTCGTTTTCTTTTGTTGTTGCTGCCGTATGTGCGTGCGCGTGTGCATGCGTGTGTGTGTGTGTGCGCGTGCGTTCGTTCGTGTGTCTGTCATGTTGCCCGTGTTTCGTGTGCACTACCGAGCGTATCCGCCTGTTTGTGTATGTGCCCGTCCGTCTGTGCCTCTGTCTGTGTCTCTGTCTGTGAGTGCATTTCAATGTGCACAACCTCTATTTCGCTTAGCATGACCGAACGTGTTAATGTGTGTATACCTAAATGTGTGCCTCGCTGTCGTGTGTGTCGCTGGTGTGGTCTGCCCAGCCCGGTTCTAAGCTATCAAACGGCGAGCGTCAGGCTGCCGTCTGTGCGTGCGTTGCCAACTTCACGAAGCCGTCGGCCGACAAGCCGTCACTGCTGCTACACAACGAGGTAGGGTTCCGCCAGCGTGCCGTTTTTGAATTCCAACACTTCCAGAGCTGCTCACTTTTTTATGTGGGTAGACATCTAAATGGGTCAACCCCCTGCCGGGGTAGAGGGAGACAGCGCACCGATTAGAAGCCAGGACAGTATTAGAATGTCAAAGGTCCGATACATCAGATTACGGCACATTTGTAAACAATTGAAGTAAGGTAGCGGAGCAGATTTTCGGTCGGTTTGTCGGAGCGACCTGTAAAAATCAGAGCGTCTCCGAAAAATCTGAACAAGCCGCAGCCCTGCACTTCTCGCTGTTATAAGGTGGTTAAGGAGAGTCACCCAGCTTGAGCTAAGGACTCGGTGTGTATCCATTCATCGCTGGAAAGTGGTGAAACGCACCTCAATGTCGATCTCAGCTGCGGAAAAAAGACATGAAGGAACTGTTGTCGTTCCCTTGTCGCCAGTTGTGCCTGGGTGAGCTGGATACTCGGTTATGTTAGCGGCGAAACACGGCTGACTGTCAGACTAGGGCTGTTACTGTGTGTACAGTGCTACCCAATGGAGTCCAATCGTGTGAATCGTGTTTGCGGCCTGCACTCTAGTTCACACTTCTCTGGTCCAGGGCTGCAGAGTGCACAGCGCCCGCTGTGGTATCCACTTTTCTTGATTGGATTTCATTGAGCAGGACTGTAGTATCCCGTGATGGCTACAGGTGCTCAGAGAGCCAAGACATGCAAGCGGTGCATGTGTCGTGTGTACCGTATTTTCCAGAGTAGAAGCCGCTCTTTGAACACTCGAAATCCAACCAAAAAAACGGGCTGCGGCTTATACTCCGATGATCAAATTAACGGTGATAAATAGATAGATGTCTGTATTTCGTGGCAAAAATGGGGGAGGGGAGGGGGGTGCGGTTTATACTCCTGAAAATACAGTAGTTCTGTGTTCTTGTGCATGCACGTGCACAATACCAGCGATGTTTCCAATGTCGGTTTGGGAGCTGGGAGTCCTAATACGCTGAGGGTTGATTTTGATACTTCTGGGGCCCGGTACTCCTTTCTGCTGCAGATTACCTTGACGACAGACTAAACCACTGTTGTCGAATTTCCACCTCGTGGTTTTGCACGTCCACCCGCACACGTATGCGCGCGTACTTACCACTTTGCGATTTTGGTGCAGGCTAAGTTTGATCGGCAGCGGCAGGTTGGGCTGGTGCCGGGACGGTAGCAGTAGCTAGTCTTGTCATGTCCCGTCCGTCAGAGGACACGACAACATCTTTTGAATGGAATGATGAATGGAACCTGTAGGAAGGCATCTTTGCTCAATAGCAAGTCTTTAGTCTTACGAAAAGCTATCTATGGTCCGTCCAGCGGACGACTCAACAACATCTTCGGAATGGTACGTCATGTGAAACTTGTGCAAAGGCATCTTGGGATTGAAATGTAAGATGGAATTTGTGAGAAAACATGATAAATCCAGGTTGAGCTGGTGTCGGAACGGTAGCATCTGCGAGTCTGGTCATTTCGCGTCCGTCAGAGGACACTACAACATCTTTTGAATGAAATGATGAATGGAACCTGTAGGAAGGCATCTTGGCTCAATAGCAAGTCTTTGTTCTTACGAAAAGCTATCTATGGTCCGTCCAGCGGACGATTCAACAACATCTTCGGAATGGTACGTTATGTGAAATTTGTGCGAAGTCATCTTGGGATTGAAATGTAAGATGGAATTTGTGAGAAAACATGATAAATCCAAGTTGAGCTGGTGTCGGAACGGTAGCATCTGCGAGTCTGGTCGTGTCGCGTCCGTCAGAGGACACGACAACATCTTTTGAATGAAATGATGAATGGAACCTGTAGAAAGGCATCTTGGCTCAATAGCAAGTCTTTGTTCTTACTAAAAGCTATCTGTGGTCTCTCCAGCGGACGACTCAACAACATGGTACGTCAGGTGAAATTTGTGCAAATACATCTTGGGATTGAAATGTAAGATGGAATTTGTGAGAAACCATGATGAATCCAGGTTGAGCTGGTGTCGGAACGGTAGCATCTGCAAGTCTGGTCACTTCGCGTCCGTCAGAGGACACAACAACATCTTTGGAATGGTACTTCGTGTGAAATTTGGGTGAAGGCATCTTGGCAGTCAAAGGTTGTGTGTTCTTACTAAAAGGTATCTATGGTCCATCCAGCGGACGACTCAACTATGACAACATCTTGGGAATGGTGCGTAAGGTGAAACTTGTGAGAAGACATCTTTGAAATCCCCCTTCTTTGTCCTTACAAAAGCTATGGTCCGTCCATCCGACGACACAACAACATCTTTGGAATGTAACGTGGTATGGAACTTGTGCGGAGCCATGAAGCAACCTTGCACTAGAGTAACGAGAATGTCAGGACACATTCGGTCTACCAAAAGCCCCATCGTCCTTCACTTTCTTCGAAAGGCATCCATCTTGCTCTCCACATTGGCTGCCGTTACTTGTGGCCATCGGCGTGTAATGTCCCCTAGCTAGTGATGCTCTCAGCAATCAGGGTTGGCTTCTCCGTGCTGGCCAAGGTGTTCCCGGAGAAGCAAGCGGACGCTTTAGCATTGCGACGCACCATCTCTTTCTCCGGGCTTTGGTTGAACAATGACTAGGGCATCGTGAGGTGGACATCCACCGATCTTCCAGTGTTTGTGAATTCGGTGAACTCTTTTCGGCCTTTTCTGCCGATTATGATCGGTCTCCCGTGTTGTTCCTGCACCAGTTGGCCATAAAGGATTCTTGAGCTCATGCTCTTTGGGTCTCTTTCCTCACACCATTCGGTTGGGTGTACGCGTTTTCACGTTGGTGCTTGATTCGAGGACTTCTTGCTCACAGATAATCATGATGTGTTCCTCCATTCCTGATCTTGTTCTGCGTAGTTGCCACCATTACAGTTGCTCTGCTTCATCTGCACCTGCACCCACCGAGCCTCGACGTCTCCAGAAGACTCCTCTTCCGACGACGACAATTGCACAGCAGCACACAATTTCATTCCAACGAGCGCGCCGAGACGGTGCTGGCGGGGCCTGCCATGCTTCACCGACCAGATGTCTGGGTATCTTCACATGGCAGGCGCACCAAATGGAAGGGAAAGCGTAGGCACGGGCGAAATGAAAGATTTAGAATAGGGGGGGGGGGGGACCTAGCAGAGAGTAACACATAATCAAACAATTACTGTTTTCTGATGATCGCTTAGTGCGTGAAACTCAGGGTTAAAACACTTTTTCCGTCCTCTTATTGTTTGTTTCAAATACTCAAACAGATAATGGGAGTGAAGAAGAGTGTCAAATGAAGGGTGCAATAAGGGTAGAAGTGGAATTTAGCTGCTCAGAGTAGGCAGCTATTTGGCTTGATCTGCTAGTTTTGGCACCAGGTCAGAGTTCACTATTCAAACGTCTTCCGGGGATTTATCATGCTGAGCAAGACAACCAGCCTTCATAGCACTGTAAAATGCGTTTGATCCCTATGCTGTGTCGCTTCCCAGCTACTGTTTTGGCTGGGGACTGGAGTTAGACCCCGGTTACCTAGTTGCAGCATGATGTGCAGCAACAACGTGCATGATCATGCTTGCCGTGCTGGATTGGGTCATGCTTGCCACGCTGGATTGGGTCATGCCTGCCACGCTGGATTGGGTCATGCCTGCCACGCTGGATTGGGTCATGCCTGCCACGCTGGATTGGACACGTTTCATGTGCAGGCATAACCTGTACTGGCACGTATATTGCACATCAGTGCATGCGTCATCCTCTACACACTGTATTTTGACGTCGACGCTTTATAGTGGGTTCACAGGTAGAAATCTGCCAGGGGTGAAAATCGGAGGGGGTGGAGGGATAATAGAGGGGGTGGGGATAGGGTGGAAATTAGAGTGTATGAGTGTGGGAGGGGGGGGGGGGGTAATAGAGAGGGTGGACATTAGAGTGTGTGTGTATGGGGGGGGGGGGGGGGGGGTAATAGAGATGGTGGAAATTAGTGTGTGTGTGTGTGGGGGGGGGGGAGAGGGGACGGATCAACAGTACTTTACGGTACTCTGCTATCGATCGTGACATGAAAATATATATTCAGACACTGGTTCTTGGTCATTCATGTCGACACAAATTGTGGTGTTTGTGAAGATCACCTAGTGTTTGTGTGTGTGTGTGTGTGTGTGTGTGTGTGTGTGCGTGCGTGCGTGCGTGCATGTGCGTCTGTACCCAGGTGGAGACGTTCTTCCATGAGTTTGGCCACGTCATGCATCACATCTGCTCCATGAACGCACAGCACTCTCGATTCAGGTACACTAGCAACATGATGTGTGTAGCTACCTGTTTCCTCTTACCAAATGCATATACCGTAATGTCGCGTATAAAAGCAGGTGCTTACGACCGTATAAGCCGGGGTTCAAACCATGATTCTATTCAAGGTATGCTTCTATTCAAACCATGCTTCTATTCAAACCATGCTTCTATTCAAACCATGCTTCTATTTAAGGTATGCTTCTATTCGGAACACGCTTCTACATGAACATCATCAGTCTACACTGTGCAGTGCGTACTGATACACATGTACTGTGCAAATTGCACTTGTATTTTGAAGAAAGCGGCTTCTATTCAAATCATGCTTCTGTGTCACGGCGCGCTTCGAAAAATCGGCTTCTGTTCGAGTCGTGCGTCTATACAGGTCATGCTTTTATATGCGCCTCTACAGTATCTCCCAAGAGTGTGGAAATGCAGTCTATGGGGGTGCGAGTGCAAGGGCAACACTATACATCACCTGACAAACCTGTACACACATGAAAGCTAGAGTTGTCCGAGTATATCATGCACTGCTGTTGAAAAGTATGGCAAGCTCTATAAGTGCCCTTGTGTACGCCGCTCTGCCTGAATCAGGTATTGAGAACTTTCGCAGAACCTAAGCTTACTGCCTCTGTGTATGTTTAACATACTGTCACGTCTTGTATTAAAGCCGCCCTCGAATAGAAGCCGCAATTTTGGGCCCATCAAATCACACAGAAGCCTGGTTTTAGTGTTGACATACATAGAAATACCTGTCTTGTATAGAAGCCTGTCTCATATAGAAGCCTGCAAAATTTCCCCAAGAAAGTCCTAGAAGCCTTAAAGGCTTTTATACAAGACTTTACGTTAGTTTATTTGCTATCATGGCTTCAACACGATGGGCAGGAGTATGAGTATGATGACTGTTTTTATGCGTTATGAAGTGCAATTAGCACTCCGAAAATTCCGCATTCTCTAATGTATGTACGCGTATGCTTGTGACTGTGTTGGGGCTGCTGCACAGTGGTACGCGTGTGGAGCGTGACTTTGTCGAGGCTCCGTCTCAGATGCTGGAGAACTGGTGCTGGCAGAGAGAGCCGTTGCAGAGGATGTCCGGACACTACCAGAGTATGTCAACACACACGCACACACGCACGTGCACACACACACGCACGTGCACACACGCACGTGCACACACACACGCACGTGCACACACACACGCACACAGACATACATCTGGCTATGAAAAAATCGATGCAGCCAAAAAAATTAAAAATAGGGATTCACTGGCCAGAGAAAAACCACTTCAACCAGCTGTGTAGTGTAGACCAGGCTAAAATTAGTGGAGGTCAATTCATCAGCCTTGCAAGCTGTTGAATGGTGTAATCCCAGCACAAGTTGCTATGTCTAACATAGCTTGTTGGCTATCATCGCTTCAGCGATGGGCAGGAGTATGAGTGTGAGTATGATGCAGCGAATGGGATTTTCGGTCTTTGACCACTTTGGTGGATGTGATCTACTCATCTCCCACGGCTGTAGGAGCTGCATCTGTGGGTCTGATCTACTCATCTCCCACCGCTGTAGGAGCTGCATCTACACCTTGTTACTTAGAGGGTGGTGATGTTCCTACGGATGCGGAAAACTCGGCCTTGAGCCGTGAATTTGTTTGTTTTGCTATGATCTTACAGCACTGTCAGAGCTACCACTTTTCTGTTGGTAGACATCTAAATTGGTCAACCCCCACCCGGGGGGGGGGGGGGGGGGGGGGTAAAGGCAGGCAGTACACCGTTTAGAAGCCAAAACATTTTTAGAATTTCTAGGGTCATACCGGTACATCAGACTTAGGCACTTTCATGGACATTAATTGAAGTGGAGCAGATTTTCCGGTCGGTTTGTCGAAACGTCCTGTAAAATTAGAGCTTTTCCGAAAAATCTAAACAAGTCGCATCCCTGCACTGTTGTGTGCTGTGCAACTGATGGGATCGGTTTACTGAGTAGTATTCAGCGCTTGTGCAAAATTGGGAACGTCACGTTTTTCGGAGCACAGGAAATAGGTCTCGACAGTCCATATACGTTGGCATCTCAACATAAAAACGTAGAAAATAACATTGTTCTGGTGTCGTGGCATGACTGCGCGCACACTCTTTCTACAGTGCGTTTCAAAAATATAGACGCGTGATTTAAAAAAAAAAACGTTCGGCCAGCATCTATACCACATAAAATCTGTGATCACGTTGTGCATAAATATTTTCGAAATTGGGCGTTTGCTATCCGATCGCTTAAAAATCTATATGAGAGCGGGAAGGACCGGAGCAATATTCCGAAAAAATTCTCGAAAAGCTCCAGCCGAATTTGTAATATTTCAAAAAATACCGTGCGTCTATATTTTTGAAATGGACTCTAGCGTTACTAAGATTCTTGTCTCTACGCCGCCTTTTTTTCTAGGGTGTCACACTCGATTGTAAGTCGCATCCCCTTCTTTGCCCATGCGGTTTAGTGTCAAAAGGTGCGACTTGTATTCGGGGAACTACGGTGCGTGGCTGTCGGCAAAGACATGGACTCCTCCAGTTGTCTCAATCTCTTGGCCTATGACGTTGCTTAGTAGCGGAGGCCGAACACGGCGTTAGCTTGTCTATACCATACTCGTACTTCAGAAGTACAGATATGCACATCTATAGCTGAATTCGCGTTGTCCTCTGTCCACTTTCTTCCACTGCTCTATCCCTACTATGCGTTGTCTAGCAGTCACACTTCTGGCCCTCCTAACCGCAATACAAATGTGCTGTCGTTTGGTGTGTAGCGAGTGTGGCTTATCGCTGTGCGAGAATGGTATCTTCTCGACGGCAGAGCGCAGCGACAGAGGCGAGAAGTATTTTCTCGTCACAGCGGTTTTTTTCTTGTGTTTTTTTTCTCACAAGTGAGCAGTCATCTGATCAATTTCTTTTTACTCGTACATCTTCACATGTTCTCTAAACCGCTGCGCATGAGCACGACTGGCCAGTCGTCTTGAGGTACCCACCCTCCCTCCCTGCTTTTTGTACTTGTCAGATTAGCCACTTGGGGTTTTACACCCGGTTTTTTCCCTAAAAAAAATAATGCGTCCGTCGGCGCGAGGGTTTTTTCCCGGCTGGCTCGGCCCAGACGAATTAATCTGACGGTCCCAAGTGGTGCTTCTGGTTTTCGGTCATTGCTCTCTCAGTTGCTGCCATTGCGTTGCTTTCATAGAATATCCATGTGCTCTGTCCCTTCTTCCGCTATTCTACAATTCCGCATCCTTCCATGTAAAAGAACGTGGTGTCGCACTTCTGGCCCTTCTGCTACAAGATGAAGTACAGTCAAAGACACGCATCATTTGCCTCCTGTTCCTACAGGGGTGTGTCTGTAGATGTGTACGGGAGTGTGTGTGCCTGCGGGAATGCGTACGGGGGCTAAACGGGCTCGTACAACACTGCGAAACGAACGACACGGACCACGGGGACAGTTGCGCCTTCGCGTCATCCTGTGAGTGGAATGGCGACGGCGGCGGCATGCCCGGGCGATGTAGGCCGCTTGTAGTAAAAGAAGGTGTATAGCCACGGTGTGGACTACAACTACTACTACTATTGCTATTAGTCTTATCTACACATTTACAACTCAGTCGGCTTTGTAACGGTTACATTACTCAGAGGGGAAGTCACCAGAGAGCGAACAAGAACAAGTCATCAACAGACTGAGGAGATCGCAAGAGAGAGAGAGAGAGAGAGAGAGAGAGAGAGAGAGAGAGAGAGAGAGAGAGAGAGAGAGAGAGAGAGAGAGAGAGAGAGAGAGAGAGAGAGAGAGAGAGCTGACGTTGGAGAGATCGATTGACTGAGGAGATCGCAAGAGAGAGAGCTGACATCGGAGAGATCGATTGACCGAGGAGATCTCAAGAGAGAGAGAGCTGACATCGGAGAGATCAATTGACTGAGGAGTTCCCAAGAGAGAGAGACTGCGCAAGCGCAGCCTTTGGGGTATATCTAAAACCATGGAGGGAAAAGGGGTGCATGCAGTAAGAGAGACAGGGTGAGCGGGAAAAGGGGTACAGGACAAAGGTCAGCGGGGGGGGGGGGGGGGCATGAATATTATGTAGGGGAGTGTGTGCGTATGGGAGTGTGTACGGGGCTCATACAACACGCCGATCTTGCCCTTCGCCGCTGTGTCCGTTGCTGACGGCGACGGCGGCGTACCACCTCTCGCGCATCTTCTCTTTGTAGTCAAAGAAGGATATGCTCTGGGCTTACTACTACTTATTACTACTATCATTGTCACGCAGATACACTACAACTTGCTGGTTCAATGGTACTTGTACATGTAGTTATATCAAGACTAGTCGGAGAGGAGGAGAACTAACACACTACAGTAGAGTCGCGCGCCCAAGAACGTTGTTTCCAAGCCTGGGACGTTCTTATTTTTCATGAAATCTGGCTACATTCTTATAGCACGTTCTTAGAAACAATCCGTACTGGCTCATAGTTATGTATCCCACAAGCTACCAGAAAACCAACACCGCCGTTCTTAGCTTTAGGCTGTGGCGTTCTTAGAATTTCAGGCTGGACGTTCTTCAGCGCACATGACTCTACTGTAAAGGAGAGAACTAACACACTGAAGGAGAGGAGAGAGAGTGAGAGGGTACGACTAGTCGAAGACTAGAAGAGAAGACTAGAGAGCGGAGAGAGCAAGGCACGACTAGCGGAGAAGAGGAGAGACCAGACTGAACAGGCACAGCCTTGGGGGTATATCTAAATCTTACTATGGAGGGAAGGGGGGGGGGGGGGGTGCATGCGGCAAACAAACAACAATCAAAAACAGAGAGACATTTCTGGACCTTTGGTTCCGGTTGACATGCAGGTTCAGGCCGAATGGTTATTCTCTTGATCATCATCCCTCTATAAATAAGTCACGTGACCACAGCATATCCCACCTTGTGTGCTCATGTGCTTCATCATGTTAACACAACACCCCCCCCCCCCCCCCCCCCCCCCCCCGTTTTTCTACTGTGGTCGATGGGGTGGGATGGGTCGTGTGGTGTGTTCTGATGTGGTATGTTGTTGTGTGATGTGTTGTGCTGTGCGTTGCGTTGTGTTGTGATGTGTGGTGCATGGTGTGTTGTGATGTGTTGTGTATGGTGTGTTGTGCTGTGTAATGTGTGGTGTGTTGTGTGTGGTGTGTTGTGTGATGTATTGTAGCTGGTGAGCCACTACCGGCAGAAATGATTGAGAAACTGGTGGAGTCCCGTAATGCCAATGTTGCTCTCTTCATGCGAAGACAGGTAGGTATTGACTTTTTGCGTGTGTGCGTGTGTGCACATGTGCGTGTCAGTCTGCCTCCACTTATTTGTTTCCTGGTGCATGTTGTACATGGCTTGGCATCAGTAAATATATTACGACACGGTACATTTCCCCGTGCATTCTGTGGACATCCAGATTTGGCAATCCCAATCTGGTGGACGCCAGAATGCTCTGCAGCAGTTGACAGAAAGCGCAATGCCTGGCGGAAATTCCGCGATGACCCCAGAAATGGAGCGCTCCAGTGTACGTACAAGCTAGCATTCCTTGACTCAACAAGATGTCTAGCAAGAGCCAAAGCCAGACATCTCGACCAT